AGCATTTGAAAAGATCAAATATGAGGCTTCTATTTTTTTTTTTTGGGGGGGGGGGTGGAAGGGAGGAGGGTTTCATCTGTTTTCTTTTGCTGAATTAAATTCTAAACAAAAAGACAAAGAGGAAAGCCTGGTGGTGGAGAGTAACTGGATTCTGGGAGCGATCACTTTGTAGTGTATATAGACATCAAACTAGAACGTGGTCTACCTGCAACATGTAATAAGGAAGGAATATAAAAAGAGGAAAGAAGGTTTATGGGGTTTCTTGAAACTTAAAGAACTCAGAATTACTCTTGCTTCTTAGATTATCTTTTTTCTTTCTCTCCTCAAGAAGATTAAAAAGAGCCAGGAGCATTTATCTAGAACACATGTGTCAAACACAAGGCCCGCGGGCCAAATCCGTCCCGCCAGGCCTTGCAATGTGGCCCGCACCGCGCTGTCATCACTGCACTCCGCTGCGTTTCCATCACAATGACAGTTTATGACTATTCAGTAAACCATTCGGCCCGCGATTTAGGCTGGATTTTAGATTTTGGCCCCTTCTCTGATTGAGTTCGACACCCCTAATCTAGAAGGTGCATAAAAAGGCTGGATTCAAAGACTAGCTCTGGGTAGCCAAGGCTGAGTGGCAGGACCTCGAGCCTCGCACGGAGCCAGAGCTCAGTGTGGCCCGTCAGTCCTCCCACTCCCCTGGGCCATGGTTTTCTCATCTATAAAATGAACGGGTTCTGGCAGATGACGTCTTTCCACTGAGCTCCGAGCTCTGAGGATCCTTAAAGTGCCAACTCTGGCAAAGGAAGAAGCTAAATCCAGACTCCACCTTCCACTGCATCTGCAACCCGTGGGTAGAGCCTGTCTATTCTGGCATGTTCTGCATCCATTTTCTGCCTTCATAAACCAGAATGAGCATCCCCCCGGAGGTTCCTGACTCCGCCTTCTCCTGCACAAACCTTTCCTCGGCTGCCCTTCTATTGAGGGGAGAGATGGGAACCCAGAGTTGGTGGGACATATGCATACCATGGGTGACTGTACAGGTGGCAGCCCCTGGATCCATCTCTAGAGAGAAGCTGGGCCTCTCTCTGAGTCTGGAAAAGCTGGAGGAGGGACCTGAAGGAGCCTGGGAAGAGGGGGTCAGTGAGGGGCTACTTCCTGGCCAAGTGTAAATCCAACAGGCAGCCATCAGAGCTATGCACACAGGAACATCAGGTTCGGGCCAGGTGGACAGGCCTGAATCTGGGCAGCCATTCCAATCAGGAGTAAACAAAGGTAGACCCTGAGGAAAGAAGATGTGACAAGGTGCCCACCCAGCGTGGTTGAGTGTTAACCTATGAACCAGGAGGTCACGGTTCCATTCCCATGCTCAGGTTTGCAGGCTCGATCCCCAGTAGGGAGCATGAAGGAGGCAGCTGGCCAATGATTCTCTCTCACCATTGATGTTCCTATCTCCCTCTCCCTCTCCCTTCATCTCTGAAATCAATACAAATATATATATATATATATATATATATATATATATTTTTTTTTTTTTTTTAAAGGAGCTGTTACAGAGGGGATCCACTCCTTGCTTAGTGGTTTGGTTCCCTCTCACATGACTGCCACCTTCTCTGTCTTTTCCTCCTGTGTCTCTAGACCTAATACGGTATCCAGCACATGGCAGCTACTCACTAGCTGTTTGATTTGAGGCTGGCACCAGGGTCTGACTACCAATTTCAACTCAGGTCAGTAAGGGTCTCCAGTCGAAGGGCTTTGTTCCCATGACCAGAGACAGCCTTTCAGGGGCTTTGGAGAGGATACAGAAGGGAAGGTGCCCAGGATGGGGCTGGGGGCTTAGGAAATAAGCTGTCACCCAAAACCCCTGGACACCACAGCCTTGCCAAGGTGACACATAGAGTCAACCATCACAGAGGTGTGAATGGGTGAGGGGTGGTAATGAAAAAAATCTCATTGTGGTTCACTCAGTACTGAGTTCCTCGCGAAAGAGTCACCAGCTCAAACCTTCAGGGGCTGGTTAGCTAAGACAGTAGGGAGTGAATGGTTGGGCTTTAGGAGCTCGAGAGGAAAAAAAAACATATGTGAATATATTCAAATTTAAACCGTTTTTTAAAAAATCTGTGAGGCAAGAAGGATGTGTATGTCCTTCCATTTTTCTGGGTTCCGCAGGGCAAACACATAAAAGGTGTCCGGTGTCCAGGCCATTACACACCAAATCCCCAAGAAATTGAGCTTTGCTCAGTGTGCAAGGAGAGTGCTAAGCATTTCCTGCGTTTAAAAAAAAAAAAAAAAAAAAAAAAAGCTGTGTACAGGAATATAACCACCCTTACCGCTTAGGGACCAAATGAAACTAACAAAATAGGTGTCAATCACTTGGAGAAGTTGTTTGTGACAACTGATGTGGTGACTATTTTAAGGGAGTTAGAGGTGCAGCCTTCAGCTGCAGAAATGATTATAATGGCCTCTCCCGGGCAAGAGTTGGAGAACCAGTTTATTCTGGTATTTGCTGGAGTCTTCCCGAATTAGCTGGAAAACTTTCGAAAATTGGCCTGACATTTCCAGGAGTCACAGAAGTTTAAAAAGTAGGCTGCAGAAAGATTCTAGCTGATTTGGTTTGTAAATTTGCAAAAAATATGTATATATACACCTTCTGGAAGTTACAAAAGAGTCATCTCTACTCATATTTCCACAGTGAGTGTGTGACAATATGCGTGGCCCCCAATTATCTCGTCTCCTGGTGCTCATGTGCCTCCCTGTGTAATCGCCTCGCCTGGTTGTAAGCTAGCCTGAGACTGCTTCTAAACAACAGGGTATGGGATGCCTCTTCCTTTATTACATTCCGTAAGATTGTAACTTTCCCCTTATCTCCTTGGTGTGCACATTTTGATGAAGCAAGGGGCCATGTTAGGGAGGCCCATGTGACAAGGAACACTGGGCAGCCTCCAGCCAACAGACAGCAAAGAACTGAAGCTCTCAGTCCAACAAGCCCCAAGAATATGAATCCTATCAACAAGCAAGTATCCTTAGAATCAGTCCTTCCCCTGGTGAGCTTTCAGATGAGACCCAACCTTGTCGGACACCTTGATTACAGCCTCAACAGAAACCCTACAACAGAGGACCCAGTGCCAGGCTGGAAAAAATGAGGACAGAACTAACAGTGAGCAATGCTCACAGGAGCAAAGAGGGGGGGGGACAGAATGAGAGACATAAGGGGATCTATTGCTAGGGTCTGGCAGTGATGTGGGGGCAAGATGCCCAAGTTGCTGGTTTGGAAACTAAGTGGGCAATGGAGCCACTCACTGGTGAAAGGGCCTGGTTCCACTGGAGGGTAACCAATTAGAAAGGCCCAGAAGATAGTTGGATGCTCATGTCTAGAACTTAGAGAAGAAATCAGAGTGTAGCTATAGATTTATGAATCAAATTCTATCTGGATTTTAAAAACTGAAATGATACAGTGATTAAATAATTTTGAAATCATGAAATAATTAAAAAGGGAAATGAGAAATAATGAAATGACACCATCATCTTTCTAGATGGTCAGTTTACAATGACAAAATGTATCACAACAACTCACTCAATTTTCTCTTCATCCCATTGCAGTCCACAGTCTACACACAAATCCTGGATGGAGAGTCTTAGGCTATCACTAGGCAGTTCCTGGGGCCCTTTGTTCAAATGAATAGCCAGGGACATCCACTGAGGGCCCACTGTGGGCCCTGCAAATCTCTGCCCTCAATGAGACAATAGGTCAGAAGGCTTCTCAGACATGATTATAGCTACAAGTTGAACAAAAGTGAAATTTCAATTCAAAGGAGTGCTGGGTGAACCTGGTCTCTCACTTGGGGAAGGTTTCTCTGAGGATGTGACAGTTGGCTGAGCTCAGAGCATGAGTCAGGGGGAAGGAAAAGAGGACAATGGGTATTTGAGAAAGAGAAAATAGTGCCTGAAGGAGCCTGGGGGAGGAAGTAGAGACAGTCCAAGGTCCAAAAGGAGGCAAGTGTGACCCAAATGGAGAAAGTCGGTAGGACAATTGTCAGAGGCACTGACCAGGTCAAGAGGTCCTGAGGAGGACAGTATCATCAGTAAAAAGCTCATGAAACACCTGTAAAAGAACAGGAAATACATTCTGCTTGGCTCATTAAATAAGGTGTATAATAGTGATAGTCTGTGATAATGCATGCCCTAATTAATTTCAGCAAATCAATTGGACTTAAAATAATTTAATCTCTTCATAGAAAATGCCACAGCAAAGTATCTACATTATATAGGAGTTCAATAAACATTGTTTGATTCCAAGTTGCTATTGTTAAATAGTCTGCCTTCCTACACCGATGATGTTTGCTAGCCTGGGGTCAAATTCAGCTAACATAGGAAAGCCTTTAGAATAGGGGTGTCGAAATCAATCAGAGAAGGGGCCAAAATCTAAAATCCAGCCTAAATCGCGGGCCGAATGGTTTACTGAACAGTCATAAACTGTCATTGTGATGGAAACGCAGCGGAGTGCAGTGATGACAGCGCGGTGCGGGCCACATTGCAAGGCCTGGCGGGACGGATTTGGCCCGCGGGCCTTGTGTTTGACACATGTGCTTTAGAACATTCCTTAGCCCACAGGCACTGTCCTTGTTTGACCATTTGGTGAAGGTAAGATGCTCTTCATTTTACAGAGCAACATCACGGAGACTCAGAGTGGGGGAGGGGAGTCCCACAGTGACCCTGCTGATGTGGGGACCAGGCCATGTCCTCATCTTGACTGGAGCACCTCTTTTATCTCATGCTTCTGCCCCTTGAAAAATAAAGCTCATACATTAAAAAAAAAAAATAGTAATTCAATTCCTTAAAACATGGATTTTTTTTTAACCCTAATGAAAATGCAAAGACTAATTTGGAAATATGTGTGAGATGTTAAATACTGAAATCTGACTGGGTGGTTATCTCTGTGAATGAAAGCACTTAATTTGTTTATTCCAGCTTCTTACTATTTCCTGACTATGACCTACTTTCTTTCATCCCAGGAGCAATAGAAGGGCAATGATAGAAGGATCCAGTGATCTGAAATTCCAGAACTTGGCTCTGCTGAAAAATAGGTGAGAATATTTTCTTGATTAATAGAAAAGTGAAGAATTTGATTCTGTGGCAATGAATCTGACCATCTCTAGCTCAATTTCTCTCTCTCTCTCTTTTACACACACACACACACACACACACGCACATACACAGCATTGCTGGCAGTGACCTTCGAGGTGACATGAAGGGAAAGGAACTTGATGTGGCTGGCCTGTCGGCACATGTGTGATGCAAGTGTAGGTGGTATGACCCCCAGAGCTATTTCCGTCACCCACCCAGGGTTCCAAACAGCCCAAGAAACACCACTGAGAGGGAGCCTTCCATTCCCCGGCCGATGAATGATTTACATGATGGCTCGTGAGTGGATCAGGCCCAAGTCCACTGCCAGGTCTCATGAGCAAGGAGACTAGAGAGAGCCACCGCCTCTATGGTTTCTGTTACCGAACAATTCTGACATCAAGACTTGCACAGGCTATTGAGAACACAGAGAGGAAAGAAAGTCCTGGCTTCAGGGGGCTCACAGCCAAGTTCCAGCTCAGGATGGGGACAAACGTGATAAAACCACTGACAGGAGACAGACCCTGAAGTCAGGTCCAGCTCTGCTGTAGACCAGTGTCTGGGCAATACCCACTGCTCAGAGGGAGTGCAGGTCTTCCTGGGCTGGACAGAAGTCCCTCACCACGGCCTGCAGGAGCAGTCTCTGTGCCTGGGATCTCCATGTGTTAGGCCAGTCCTTGAATCCTAATCTACTTCAACTCAGATCAATCGGCAGACACGCAATCAGTTCCTACTATGTGCTGGGCACAAGGAGCCTTCCCAGGGCCCTAGGATTGACGTGAAGTCGTTCTCCTAGGCAGAGGGAGTGAATGTCTGCAAGACGGAATGCATGAAATATTTTCAGACCACATTAAGCCATGGAAATTTTGTGGCTGTTCTCAGACTTCTTCAATGTTTACATTAAATCCATTTAAATAATGCATTTTACGTCCATTTTTCTTATTTCTTGACAATAGTGAGCGATGAGAGATGGAAGGGCTAGAAGCCTTGCTTCAGATGGAGATGGTTGTGGCAATTACAGACATCAAAGTAATATTTACACTCACATTTGGGAGGAAAAGAGAGAGCGGCGCTTTTTTTTTTTTTTCCCCCTGAAGGAAATTATTTTGGGATGTGTCACAGCACACTCAAGATATATTAAAAAGAGCAGCAGACGATGTTTCTGCAACCTGTTCCAAACCATTTATAAACTCAAGCTAGAAAAAAATCCCCCACATCCATACAAATCTCTCTACCACGGCATATTTTATAATGAAAGTATCGTATGAATATAAATTAGTTTTCAGGTAGATAAATCAAATCAAAAATGTCTGAAAACTATATATTTGGGTCTATGGTCTTACTTGAATAACTGTGGAGCCGATGTTCTCCTTCTCCATACAAATGATAGTTATCAGCGTGTGATGGTGGGGAAGGTCAAGCAGGGGTGCTGCCGGTAGGCAGAGCTGTGAGTCCATGCCCACTGACCCACATCCTGGCTGGGCAACCTCCCCCACACAAGCCCATTCCCATCACAGCTGCGTGTGTATTTTAGAGAAGGTATTTTAAAAATAATAAGCAGGCCCAGCCAGTGTGGCGCAGTGGTTGAGCTTCAACTTATGAACCAGGAGGTCACAGTTTGATTCTTGGTCAGGACACGTGCCCAGGTTGTGGGCTGGACCCCCAGTGTGGGACGTGTGAGAGTCAGATCAATGATTCTCTCCCATCGTTGATGTTTCTCTCTCACTCTCTCTCCACTCCTCTCTGAGATCAATAAAAGAATTTTAAAAACAGTTGAATGAAGGCCTAATGTGTACTGAAATATGGTAGCAATCATACGTGGGTAAAAACTGCTGTTTGAATTTTAACCCTACTATTCTGAATTCAAATTCTAAGCAAGGTTACAAGCAGAGCTTCCTTTTTTTATTAAAGAGCCAGCCCTATGTGCCCTTGGTGGTTGTCTCGATGCTGGCCTTGACACCTGGCATGGTATTAAGATTGTGGGCATATCTGGTCTCTGGCCTACAAGGTCAGACAGCAACATTTTGTCTAGAAAGAACAGCAGAAAATTCCAAAAAACAGTTTGTTACAAAATAGGGGTTTTCCTTCTCAGAACCTTTAAAAAGAACTACCTGCCCCTGAAGCAGGGCACTTGTGTGGAGTCTGCCTGCGTGTGGTACTCTTGAGGCTGTCCTGGCCAGATATTTCAATAAATCTTTGCCTGCTTTTTTTAATAAATCATCAGCCTCCAGTGATCTTATTTGGAACCCAGGATTCGACCTCACAACAGTACCAGTCACCATGAAAGGACTGTTGACCTTTAATCCTCAAGACAGTGCCATGGAGTAGGTTTAAAACAATGAGATTTAAATAAGAAACAGATCAGTATACACTCCTAACTAAACTGAGTATGTCCTCAGAGCAAGAAGTGCTTTAGGGCTCCAGGGAGGGACAGTCCAGGGCCCGGCAGAGCAGGATCCTGAGGACATGAGAGGGGCCTCCCCCAGCCAAGGGGACCTGGGCGGTGTGAGCTTTTTATAGTTCTGGATGCTACCAGACACTTTCAGCATTTTCCCAGGACCCCTTCAGAGGATTGTATGCACTGAATTGTTTTTAATAATCATAGGAGGATGTGGTTTTATTGGTGAGACAGAGAGAGAGAGGGGGGGGGGGGGAGAAAAACATCAAGGTGAGAAACATCTATCCAGTTGCCTCCTGTATGCCTCCTGACCCGGGATAAAACCCCCAACCTAGGTATGTGTCCTGACTAGGAATTGAACCTGCAACCTTTTGGTTAATGGGACAACACTCCAACCAACTGAGCCACTCGACCAGGGCCAAATATTTATAGAATTAAATAGAGTTTTAAAAAGGAGATTGTTGAAACAAGGAAGGCTTCTTCTTACAAAGCATGAACCCAGTTTCCACTTAGAAAAAGGAGCCTTAACCCTCCCATCAAGTGAATTTCTTCTGCCTCAAAGGAGTACAGCAAGCATGTCAAACTCATGGCCCGTGGGCTGCATGCCTTGTTTATTTGGCCCATGTTAGCCTTTGAGTTTGACATGCTTGGAGGACAGGCTTGGGAGACACTCTCCAATCTTGCATCTGTCACCAAAAAAAAAACAAAAAACAAGAGAACCTATTTCAGGGGTGTCTACATGGGATGGGGAGCGGGCTCTGGCTGTGTGTGGACTGTAGGCTGTGTTGGGATAGTACGAGCCTGCGTTGGACCTAGGCATTCTCTTGAGATGCCCCTTTTATCTACTCTTCCCTAGACATGTGTGCCTTCATTCACTCACTCATTCACTCTCATCCACCATGTTTTCATGTTCTAGGCACTGTATTTGGCATTTGGTTTCCCTTTTAGGACCAGGGGTCCTAGGCAGGAAGTTTGAGATATTATGCCCTACTCTGTTCTGGTTATGTGAGCATGGGTCCCATTGCCCAAATGCTAGATAGTCAGGGAGGGCTTTGGTAGTCACACTCCCTGTCCCTGTGGAGGCGGCTTCTTGCTGAGTCTGTTCTACCCTAGCCTGCCTCTTCAGGGCATCGCAGTGGCTCCCTCGCACCTTTCTGAGCCGCAGCTCTGAGCGTCCCTATGCACCACCTGGTGATGTGCTCACTGCCCCAGCTGGCACAGCCCTCCGAGATTACCCCTTCCTCTCTCCTCCCCAGCACCACCCTTTCCCAGCCTGAGCTCCCACAGCTCCCGCTGCAAACCTCACTCCCTCCTGGAGGGTGGTGGAGAGGAAGGGGATGGACCCTGCCCTCAGAAAGGCTAGGTGTGAAGGGATGCCATGGAGAACTCCTCAGGGGCGCACCTGAGCCTCCACCCACCCTGCAAAGCGAAAGGGGTCTGTATATAAAGAGACATCTTATATTTCTTATTGGTTTCAGAGAGGAAGGAAGAGGGAGAGATAGAAACATCCATGATGAGAGAGAATCAGTGATCGGCTGCCTCCTGCCCACTCCCTACTGGGGATCGAACCCGCAACCCAGGCACGTGCCCTCAACCAGAATTGAACCCGAGACCCTTCACTCCACAGGCCAATGCTCCACCCACTGAGCCAACGCAGCTAGGGCAAAGCGAAAGGTTTAATTCCTTAATTCCCACGCATTGGGTGCCAGCATCCCATGATGCCCTAAGATCCATATGCCGATACTGCCCACCGGAATCACCAGGAGGGTTGAGTGAAGTGACTCAGGGCACACATTCAACAACAGAGAAGAAGGGAATGGACTTAGATTAAAACTGAGTTTAACAGCTCTCAAAATGCAGCTGTCTTTCACACAATCGAGACTTTTATTCTAAAGTGGTCTTCTCACTCAGGGCAGGATGGATAAATATTCTCTCAGTGAGCAGTGAGCCCGAAACACCCTCCCCACCCCCCTTTACCTGGGAGGCCCGAGAGGGGAGAGGGAGGGAGCAGTGGGTGAAGTCACCCTGACAGTTTCCTGGGGGCAATGCCGGGCAGTGGAGCCTGGGGATACCTAGAAGGCCACGTGCAGCACAGTCAGGTGGCAAGGAGGAACTAGTCCCGGCGCTGGGAGCACGGCCCTGGAGACAGGACAATCCCGTCTCTATGGAGCAGGGACAACACACCTTCCAGACTCCGCTCCTGGATCAGCAAAACCCTGTGCCCGTTTATCCTCAGAGCCAGTTCCCCTGGGCAGCAAGGGAGGGGGGCAGGGGGCCCCATTTAGTGCCCTTCAAAAACAGGACATGATTAAGCATATTAAATTCCTAAGAATTAGTAAAAACTTAAAATAATTCAGAAATTAAATATCTTAATTTGTAAGGAGCCCTGACTATTGAAAGCCACCAACCCCTGAGGTCTGCTTTGTTTCCCTTATTTCCCTTGACCTCCCCGCCAACAGGCGGACACCCCGGACACAGAGGAAGACCTGCCTCCCTCAGGGTCCTGTGGGGGGGGCGGGAGAGCAGGTGGGGGGAAAGCTTTAACTAGATCCAGCGAGGCCTGGCACATGGCTCCTTAGGGATGCTGCTGAGGACAGAAGCCAGGGGCATCCCTGCCATTCCGGAGCTCCGGCAGCTCCTAACACGTGGGCCCCGCTTGAGCCCAGAGAAAGCACATCCCTTCTTCAGGAGGTTTGCTAGCAGCGTCTTTCACTCATCACCCTGCCCGCCAGGCTGCGAAGTGTGTGGACACAGGAATCTTTTCAGAGAGCTTGTCGGTGCCCTCCAGCCAGACAGGACTGGCGTCTAGGAGGCCTCCCCAGGCCGTCCTCCCCAGACTGTCCTCCCCAAGCTGTCCTGCTCAGAGCGTCCTCCCCTGGCCGTCCTCCCCAGGCCCAGGGCGGCACTTCAGCCCCTCCTCACTTCCCTTTGCGGGCTCAGCGGAATCACAGCGCCTTCCCTGCCTTGGCTGCCTCTGCTAATTCACTGAGCTTGCTAATTCATGACGCACGGAGAGCCCTGGGGTGCGGGTCCCAGAGGACTCCCCTGTGCGTGAGTGCTGTGGCTGTGGGACCGGGAGGGGTGGGGGGAGGGGGTGGGGGCAGAGTGGGTCAGAGAAGCCGCTTCCTGGCGCCCTGACAATTGGAATCTCCCAGAATCGGAGCCTGTGGTGGCAGTTGCTGCTTGCTCGAGGCTTGTCAACAAATCCCATTCTGCCTGGCGCTCACTGCCCGCTCTGGGGAAGGCGCTTCGTTCTCTGCGCCTGAGCTGCCCCTGCATTGTGGGGAGCCCAGCCCAGCCTTCTGTGGACCCGGGACCCTCAGAGCCACTCTGTTTAGGGGGCAAAAGACCTACTTCACTTCTGCCTCCAAGAGCCTAAAACTGAGAACAGTGAATGGGGCCACATTACCTGCAAGGTGCTTTGGAACATAACGGTCTTTGATTCCAAACACCAGGGGAGATGAGATAAGAAACAAGACGGGATCCGGATTTAAAGCCCAAGGTCCCTCGGAGCCTGGGGAGACCGGCATGGTGTCCCGGACCCGGTGCAGGCTCTCAGGCCTCGGCCAGGGCATATGAGGCTCACTGCACAGCGAGGAGGAAACACAGCCTCCCATTTCCGTGAGTGAGCTGTAGTCCGGGGAGCCTCTGGGTCTCCATCAAAGGCCCGATGTCACTAACGGGCCGTGTGCGGGAAGTGTCAGAGAGCTCCCGGGCCCCCGGTGAATGGCCGGCGCCTGGCTGGCTGGTTTACTGTTAATTTCTGCAGAATCAGGCAACTTGGCAGGCTGCCAAGAGCTAATAACCACAAGGGTTCGGAGCCCGCAGCTGCAGGGCTCCTGCGAAGCCTGACTGTCCCCTGCCTGCAGGCTGGAGCCGGAGAGGGGCGGGGCCAGGATTCTAGGGCTGGTGTCCAATCCCCCACTCTCTGGTGGACCGGGGCAGGCCAGGGGGGCCCTCTGAGCCCCCTCTTTCCTTGTCTGGGAACTTGGAACAGCGGCAGCTACCCCACAGGGCCATTTTGAGTTTCACATGGTGAGCAGAGGCAACAGTGAGAGCTGAAAGTGGGGCTCAGACTGAGGTCTCCTGGTTACCAGCATCTCCAGCCTCGCTGCCCTGTGCCCAGGGTGCCCGCCGCCAGCCAGGCCTCATAAATATTTACACCCGCGTGTGTTGCGATGCTCAGCTAATTGCTCCAGTGACGCACTCGGGGAGCCTCGGAGGAAAGGGGCGATGCCAGGGCCGGGTCGTTAGAGGCACAAACGAGGTGCTCACAGAGGCCAGGTCCTCCGAGCTGTGCCTGCCCCAGGGCGGTTCAGATCCTCGCTGACATCAGGGAAAGGTGCCTCCACAGCTCACGGTCAAGGGCCAGGGCCCGTGTGACCACCAGGCAAAGGGCCCCTTGGAAAACAGCAAAGACCTGTGCTTATATATAACTCCCCACAGAGGAAAGGTGAATGGCCCAGGACCTTTTAAAACTTCTTATAATAACAGTAACAATTCAATCTCCCTGGTCATCGAGGAAACCAGACAGGACCAACGTGCCAATAGGCAACACTGTCTTATTCTATTTTTTTAAATATATTTCTTTATTGATTTCAGAGAGGAAGGGAGATGTAGGGAGAGATAGAAACATCAATGATGAGAGAGAATCATTGATCGGCAGCCTCCTGCATGCTCCCTACTGGGGATCATGTCAGCAACCCAGGCCTGTGACCTGAGCTGTGTCTTTGGGTCTAGGCCAGTGGTCAGCAAACTCATTATTCAACAGAGCCAAATATCAACAGCACAACATTTAAAATTTCTTTTGAGAGCCAATTTTTTTTAAACTTAAACTTCTTCTAGCGCCACTTCTTCAAAATAGACTTCAAAATACCAGGCCATGGTATTTTATGGAAGAGCCACACTCAAGGGGCCAAAGAGCCACATGTGGCTCGTGAGCCGCAGTTTGCCGACCACTGGTCTAGGACAATACAAATGTCGAGAAATGGTTCCATAGGTTGGCCTGTGAAACGGCCCTGGGTGACTGCCCTCCCCCCACTTTAGGAATGCCGCTGACTGACACTGACCTGGCTTCTCTGTTCTGTCCTAGGTCATGGCCTCGAGTCAGCAGAGCCGCAGGTGAGTCAGCCCGGGCCTGTCAGACTCTTCCTTTTCTCCTGGTCTTTCTGTTCTTCAGTAACACCGTTGGCCTGTTCAAACAGCAGGAGCATTTATGGCTTTTCCCTATTCTTGCTCCCAGGGGCCAGCCTGGCCTGTGGTGTCCACAATGTTGGGAGCAGGCTGAGCAGGTGGGGAACTGTCTCTCCACCTGGCCGCTATGTGGCCTGGGATGGGGCACAGATCACTCCGGCCTGTGCTCCTTCGTCTGTAGCGTGGGTAGGAGTCTGCCTAAGATGGTCTTGTGGCTACTCATGAGTGTTCCCTCAATTGGGCTTGCTGTGATGGGTTCTCCCCAAAATACGCACCAGGCGAATGGGTCAGAAACCATACCCAGCTTCTCTGTGTGTCTTCTCGGAGCCCAGCCCTTGGTACTCGGTGCTTATAGGACCCCCTTCCAGTGTGACTGAGAGGATGGACTGTTCCTGTTGGAGCACCCTAATTTCAAGAAACCCGGCCCAAGTGGCTCAGTTGGTTGAGCACCATCCTGTGCAGCCAAAGATTTCCGGTTCAGTTCCCAGTCAGGGCACGCACTTGGGTAGCAGTAAGGAGAACGGGAAGAAGTAAACTAAAAATCACAAGTATAAATCTACATTAAAAAAAAAAAAAAAAAAAAAAAACAAGCACCTAGCTCTAAGCCCTCCCAGAGAACACATGATCAAGTTTCCCAGTCAGGTCCTAACAGAGGACCTTGTATTCTCTCAAGGTCAATGCTTCCAAATTATACTAGAGTTTTGGTCTCAAATGTACCCCACCCCACCATCCACTCAGCATCCTGGGGAGACTGTAGAAAGTGTTAAAGGGGGCAGAGCCTGGGCGTGAAGTTGCTCATTTGATGCTGTGGCTGGTGATTTATAAACCCCAGGACCTGAATCCTTCCCTTCTACCTTGCTGTCCACCTGCAGTAAGGGAGACAGAGACAGGCAGGTAGGTATCCCAGTCCATCCACAATGTTCTAGAGACTCGAGCAGGGAGAAGAAAACAAATCTAAACCCCCAGAATGACCAGGGAGATACAGCGGCACAGGCCTGCCCACACGCACCAGAGTGCATGCCCTGCCCACAATTCTCAGCCGCAAAGCACCCCACCTCCGCACACTGGCAAACCACTGCAGGTGTCTGTTCTGTTCTAACAGACCCCGTACAACTGGCATGCGCTTTGCGATGGATGTGAGAGATGGCTTGTCACAGGGGCACGTATTACATTCCCAGGTGTTTTTACATTGCCTGTGATTTTCTTTGCCGGGGAATTTGTTAAAAATAATGGTGGGGCATCCATATGAGAGAATGCAGTGTGCCCATTAGAAATGATGCTGCTGAAGAGGGTTCCCTGACATGTCTGTTCTATGAGAGAGCAGGCAGGAAAAGAGTGTGCACGCAGCGAGACCATATATGCATAGACTGACTGTAATGTGTGTGTGCGAGTGTTTAGGATGATTGCTTTGGCATGAGGAATTATGGTGATTTTCATTCTTTTTTACTTATTTGTATCTTAATTTTCTATAATAGTATATATTTTTAATATATATTTTATTGACTTCAGAGAGGAAGGGAGGAGAGATAGAAACATTAATGATGAGAGAGAATCATTGATCAGCTACCTCTTATCCACCGCCCACAATCCCCATTCCCCCAACCCCTCACACATACACACACACACACACACACACACACACACACACACTGGGGACTGAGCCCACAACCCATGTACCCTGACTGGGAATGGAACCCTGACCTCCTAGTTCATAGGTCAATGTTCAACCACTCGGCCAGGCTGGCTGGACAGTAGTATATATTTTTATGTACTAAAAACTATCCAAAATTGAAGAGGATTCCAGGGCTGGAGAAGACAGGCATGTATTCAAACATGACACTCTGTCAATACCAATATCTCTGTGAGGCTGATATACAGAGAGCAGTGCCATGTGTTTCCATAAAATAAACTGAGCTTTTCTCCTGTCCCTGAATAGAGAATGAAATGAGAGAGGATAGCCCTACTTAGAAAGTGGGTCATTCTGTCTTAAGTCACCATCCACCGTAAACATGCTGATCGTGCTGAGTCCATTAATAAGAGGAGAAATTTTCTTTTGTCCAGAAACACTTGTTTTGTTGTGCTTTTAGTTTCCTAACGAAAGCAGTCTGGAAGGTTGTTTTTGTTGTTGTTGTTTCTCCACTTAAAAAAAAAAAAAATTGAATGATTTTAGAACTAGAGGAAAGGAAGGCAGGTGTGGGATATGTGAGCAGCTGGTGCCGCCTACTGGCCCTTTCTGGATCTTGCAACACTTGCATCCATTTAGCAGAGGCCTGGTGGACAAGAAGAAATTCAAACGTTGACAGTTTAATTACTGGGAAAAGGTGTTTACAGATTTCTGGTAAGCTCAGGCAAAGATTTCACATCACCCAAGATTGCTAACCCCCAGGACTAAGGATTTTCTTCCAAATTCCTTGTGTATCAGAATCACAACACTGAGAAGTGCATGTTCTCAAGCCCTCCCCATGGTTTATGCTTTGGGGGATTTATACTGAGACCAGGAATCTTTCATTTTAATAAGATAATTCCAATGCAGGTAGATCTAGGGTGTTTTTTAAAGAATCACTGTGAGAAGCAAAAAGAATCAAGATTGTCCCCACCAAGAAGCTGCCATTAATTCTCTGGACAGCAACTGTCTTGGAAAATCTCATTTGAATTTCAGGGGGTCTCCCAAGACAGAGAATGACAAGCAGCTGTCTGGCTTCTTACCACTCCTGCATTCATCTACCCGCTCATTTAAGCAATCGGTGGTTCTTCATCTAACTGATATGAGAACCAGTTTTGGGGACAAGCGCTCTTTAAAAAAATAAAGGTGAAATGTCCTAAGGACTCAGCAAGTCAGAGAGTCGAAGGCCATGCTTTACAGGTGAGGAGGTTAAGAACTAGAGAAGGGAACTGGATTTCCAAGGGCCACCCAGTGAGAACATTAATACTGTTCTCCCAACTCACCAACAAAGGTAGCTGTTTCTGCAAGTTTAGACTGTTTGTGCTTAACATTTACATTCATAATCTCCAGATAAGGAGACTGTGTTTCAGTAAATAAAACGGAAATGCCCAAAAGAGCTAAATGACGGAGCTGGTAGATGGAAAGATAGATAGATAAATAGATAGATAATAGATGGATAGAGATAGATGATAAATGAAAGATATAAATATATATAGTACATTCATGTATATTATACTAGATATATAGAACAGTCATGTTATGCATATACTAGAGGCCCAGTGCACAATTAAATCATGCATGTGTAGGGTTCCCTAGGCCTAACCTGCCAACAGGGCCATGTCCGCGGCCCTGAGATGCCTCATACATCCGTTGATGCTGCGAGACTCTGATTCCCAATCTACAAGTCAGTACTATTGATAGTTGGCCAAGGCTTATGCACTTGCCCAGTTTCCCATGGCCACAAAGGGCCACAGCCAGGATGGGAACCCAGAGTTCCTCACTCAGCTTCCCTGCTCGTGCTGTGAGCAGAGGCCCTGCTACATTATTGGTGAAGGGCAAAGCTGGTACAACATGAAATGCTGCACGATGCTTTTAAAAGGCTTCACCATGATGGTGTTTGTTGTTTCTTATGTGAGTCATGTCTAGAGGTAAGCAGTCCCTGGCTGTTGGGAAGTCCTGCTCCTCCAGGTCCTCAGACCTCCTGCTCCTCCTGTCCCCCTCCCTCCTCCCTTGAAGTGTCCTCAAATGGGATTTTGTCCCACCATCTAAAGTGTGACCCGGACAGCAGGAGCGACAGAGCGGAGGAAAAGAGGGAATAAACAGCAAGTAACACTTTCCCTTTCCTGGAAGTTGTGAGTTGACTTTCCACCTCTTCCATCAACCAAAACCTGGATCCATGGCCGGGTTTGGGACCGGAACAGTTTGGATGTGTCCTAAGTACTTACTCTAGGTGGCCACGCGCCCAGCTGACCTCGGGGGTTCTAGTGCCGAGAAGAAAGGGGAAGAGGGGGTGGCAGAGGCTCTCTGGGATGGAGTCCTCAGTGATGGATTGGATCCCTGGCCTCTCTTGCTTCCCACCACCTATTTGAGTATGTCCTGCTGGCAGTGTCTGGAGTTGGAAGCAACCTGGACCCTCCCTCCTCTCCTTTCCCCATCCCCTCCCTCTGAAATCTTGTGAAGAAATAAAAATGAAAGTTGGTTCTGCTTGGGGAACTTTTCCCAAGTATAACCATGGCAACAGCACTTGGGGCCTGGCCAGCTCCCCTGTCCCTATAAGAGTAGTGAATGGGACGTAGACAGGCGCCAGTCTCGTGCTTCCAGGTGCTCAAGTTCACGGGGGGGGGGGGGGGGGGGGGGGCGTTTACAAGTGCAAACCATCTGAGAGGATCCATCTTCTCGGCCATCTTCCATGGGAGGGAGATGGAGCTTCCAAGTTGGGAGTTCTCCCACCGCAGTGTGCGTGTCAGCATGAGAGCGTGGGTGCATGCACTCGGTTCATGCTGGGGCCCCGCTTTTTCTTATTTCCTTTTTTTTTAAGCCCCCTGGATGAAAACGGTCAGGTCAGGGGACCTCCTAATTGGATGGGCTTTGGCCAGACGCCTGTGTCATCCCTACGTGGGCCTGAGAAGAGGTGTCCACGTCCAGGGCTAATTGCTCTCTGCCCATCAGTTAGGAAAGCCCTGCGCTTCTACCGGACATACATTTATCTTCGTATCCCTCTTAACAATCATGTCCATGCGGGGCTGCCTTCTGCGTAGACGCTTCCCCGGGGGCCGCGCAGGAGAGCCATCCAGTGTCTGCCGGTGATGAATGGGCCTCCGCAGACCGAACCTGAGCATAACTCTTCCCAGACGGTGGCGTGAGAAGAAGCTCCATTCATCTTGTTAGAAAACGCTGCTCTCTGAGGAGCCCACCTGTCCTTTAGCTCCGGGAAGGCTCAGAGGCTGGGGAGCCTTGGGGGGTGTCCGTTCGATGGGGAACAGGGGCCCGACAAGAGGAAGGCTCAATCTCCAGCTCATTCGGCGAGGGAGGATGTCAGGTGGTAGCTGAAGTGTCGCCTCTGCTTCCCAGTTCTGGGTGTATCCACTGCACCCCTCACGACCCCTCACATCCGACTGTCCATTTATCGTGTGCTTAACGATGCATGGGAACAATTTGGAGCCTGGAATCTCACCGCTGCCTGCGGGAGGAGGCACCCCTCGGTGATGACATATTTATTGGCTTGCTTTGTTCCTTTGGAGAAACTGAAAAGACCAGATTAACCAGGGCAGGCTACCATCCATCATGCATGAACTGCAAATGTTAGTCGTTTGAATAAAATAGAGGCTTCTGCTCGCCCGCATCACAATCCGATGCGGGTCAAAAGAGGTCTTTTTCCATACACTGTCCATCTATTGTTCCTCAGGGCTTCGGGGCCCTCTGCCTCCGGACAGCCCCAAGGCAGGAACCAGAGTGTGGAGTGGCCAATGGGTCTCCACTCAGGAGACCCTACAAATTGCCACTGGAAGGGCCTGAGCAACCTGTGGGTTTCTCTTCCAGGGACCTACAGGGGGTGTAATCCTGCCGGGACAGAAGGTATTACGTATTAGTGCCTCTGGGTGGTGACAGCTGCTAGTCCCACCACCAGGGGGCGCTGGCACTGGTGGTAGGCAGGATTAGGCCCCTCCTATCTCAGATCTCCTGGAGATTATTTTAGACTAACATCACACACACACACACACACACACACACACACACACACAGGTTCTAGGCAACTTCCAGAAAGCTGTGTTTCCACCCAGCCAAACTTTCCTTCGTTTACCCATCCCACCCACAGAAGACTGGGGACTGGGGACACATGCACAGCTCTGAATTTTGAATTTTGGCGTGGCAAGAGAATTCAGGGTAAAAGAACATTTTAAAAAACGATGAAGCCAGACCCAGATGTAGAAATACATGCCAGACCACACTCTCTGGACACAGCCAGACGTGTGCCCTGAGATTCTTAGCAGCCAGGGAGGAGGGGAAATATAATCTCTCCTGGGATTGGTGTTTTCCATTAAATCAAAGCAAACCAATTGCTAAGAAGCACACCTCTTCTGGTACAGAAACATGCTGGGAACTTCTCACATATGTGCTAATATAAGGGATGTGATAAGAACATTTCCTGCCTATAATGTTCCTCATGCAGACTAACAGCATGACACTGGGGTGCAATTTAGGGAAATTAAGTCTAGGAAGAAGGAAAAAAAAAAAAAAAAAACCTGCAGGCCACGTGACCATCCTTCCTTGGTGGTTTTGGTAAAATGTCAGCCATAGAACACTGAGCGCCCTGCATGACCTTCAGGCAACCTTCACAACACAAGCCCAGGTGGGAGAGTGGAGTGCTGACAAGATTCCATTGAACAATATTCATTCAACAAACGCCTATCAAGAATTAACCTGGTCGCCTGGCCAGTGTGGCTCAGTGGTTGAGCAGCGACCCATGAACCAGGAGGTCACGGTTCAACTCCCGGTCAAGGCACATGCCCAGGTTGCAGGCTCAGTCCTCAGTAGGAGGTATGCAAGAGGCAGCTGATCAAGGATTCTCTCTCATCATTAATGTTTCTATCCCTCTCTCCCTCTCTCTTCCTCTCTCTGAAATCAATTTTTTTTAAAAAGTCACCTGGTCATATTGAGCCTTCTGCCTGGAACTAGAGATAGGTGAATGAATAAATATGACCCGCTCTCAAAATACTGGGGTACATACAGTCTGTTTAAGGAGACAGAGGTATGGACAGAGAAGTGCAAAGATACCATGTGCCCTCAGGGGAGACAGAAGAGGAAACCACCTCTCCAGGAGCTGAGTCACGGTTTGAGGGCACTTGATAGGGGAGGGGTGTCTGCCTCTTTCCCTGAGGATGCTTCTTGGTTTGAATTTGATTCCCTCCCTTCCTTCTCATCGCCCCCATTTTGCAAGAGCAGCAGAGAAAGTGAGGACAGAAATACGCACTTCATTGGGAGCAATTACAGTCCAGAAAACTTAATTGGAATAAGCACGGAATTTCTGAAAAACCCAGGCACGTTAACCTTGGGTCTGTTTTCATTGGCAGGCCAGCGCCAGCCCATCCCCGAGCCTCCACTGAACTGCGTAAGTCAGCCCCTCCCTCTCCTCCTCCTCCGTCTTTGTTATTTACCAAATAACTGTCTTTTTCCAAGGCACGCGGTGGATTAAGAACAAAGAGAAAAGAATGTTAAATGTATAATTTATTGGCAGGGAAAATTGTATTTCCATTGTTGGGTAGAAAACTGTATGCCAGTTTCTCAGCTATAAAAGGGAGAGGAAAATGAATTTTCACGGCCACTGCGAAGACTGGATGAGTTGAAAATACCAACACGCACAGTGCTGGCAAGTGTGTGATGCGGGAGGCACTTCCTCCCACTCGTGGCGAAATGTTCAAGTGGAACGAACATTCTGGAAAGCAATTTCAAAATATTAACCAGGCAATAGAAAAGTGTCCATTTCCTTTAGCCCAATAATTCTATGGTTGGGAATTTAAACTAAGAAACTAAGCCAAAATTTGGATTAATAGTTAAACACGCTCATTTATATTTTATAATGATATATCTTAAATGGCAGCACATTGGAATCATGCTAAGTATTCAGTAATATAAGCATAGCTAAATATATTATATTCCCAGTATGAAGCCATTAATGATATTTGCAAAGAATTCTAATGACTAGAGAAATTTATAACATAACTCAGATAGTTAATATAAGTAATTTTGTTGTTAAATTGTATATGTACACCAGTGTTATTTAAATAGTTCTATCCACCATATCTGTATATGATAGATGGAATATATCGGATAGATGGATGGATGGATGGATGGATGGATGGATGGATGAATACAAAGGTAGGAAGGTAGGTAGATAGATAGATAGATAGATAGACAGACAGACAGACAGACAGAATATGCGTATAAAATCATTGATTCTTTCTTGTTTAAAAAAAACTTTTTTAATCTACTTAAAGTTATGGAACTTCACTCCAGGACAGAGACACAAACAGTCAGTCAGTCACAAATGATTTACCTCTGCGATGGAACAGTAGATAATAAATAGGTTAATAGGTAAAATAGATGTAACTTCTTATAATTAAAACAAAACTCTATCTCCCTTCCCAGAAAGATATAAACCAGACTACTTCTATCCCGTTCTGTGGGCAAGACTCTCGGGGTCTAGGGCAGGTTCTCCCCAAACAGGGGAGAGGGTGGTGGCTACTGCCCCCCCACCCCATGTCCCCACATGCCCTGCCCCCATGATCCAGGAAGGCAACTGGTCAGAGATGGACTCTGCTCTCACCTCCCCAGTTCACCCAGCAGGTCCAGGACTCCCCCAAAGCAGCTGCTCTCCGTGGCTGTCTAGGTGCTGGCCACACAGTGTGGAGCATAAATGGCGCCCTTGCACAAAGGCTCATCGTCAAGCCCCCAAAGGAACCGCATGCCTGTGCTCCAGCCCAGACCTCACTTCCACATGAGGTTCCTGAGAACAGCCCGCTCAGCTTTCCCCTTCCCCGGGTCACCTGGGAAACCTTGGCAAGCCTGCTTCCCCCTGGCACTCTGCTGTGCCTACACTCAGCACATCCATGGGAGGGAAAGGACCTAGCGTGTCGTGGGCAGGTGCAAAGTAGAACCTTTATATGCACTGGGCTCAGCTTCATACAACCAAGTAGGGCAGCTTCGCCTGCTCCTGTCTACAGATGGAGTGTCTGAGCCAGGGAGGAACCTGACCTCCTGGGTTCCTCAATTTAAGATCAAGGCCCTGCAAATAGATCCCCATTCTGTGTTTAAGGGCTTAGGTAACCCAAGATGATCTCTCTATTTCAAAGACAGCCCATTAGTGTGTCTCTCTCTCTCTCTCTCTCTCTCTCTCTCTCTCTCTCTCTCTCTCTCTCTCTTCTTTTTTTTTTTTCTTTTTTCATCACTTGAGGAAATTTTCCCATTGATTTTTTTAGGGAGAGTAGCAGAGAGAGGAAAAGACAGAGAGAAACATCAATGTGAGAGAAACACATCAATTGGTTGCCTCCTGCATGCACCCTGACCAGGTCCCGGGCCTGCAACCCAATCGAGGTAAGTGCCCCTGACCAGAATGGAACCTGGAACCCTTCATTCCACACACAGCCCGACACTCTGTCCACTGAGCCAAGCCCGCTAGAGCCCATGTGTCATCTTAATCATTTCTGCAGGGCCGCCTCACAGCAGCACCCGGATATTTGTTTGACTGAATAACAGGAATGGGAATACTGGGGGGCATCATCAGAATGCTACCTACCCTAGAATGTCCCTGCACCAGAGCCCAGATGCTTAGCTCCCACCTCAGAGAACCTATCCCACTCCCCTCGCCAGCCCTGCAGCCTGACACCTTTATCACCACTGCACCTTCCCCAACTCATCCAAATGTCCCCCCATGCTCAGGAAAGGAGCTTCCCCGCAGACCCGGATGAAGCAGAGGGCCGGGGGGATGACGACTATGAGGACCCCAATGTTCATGTGGCAGAGGGTTGGCAGTGGATGAAAATCCTGCCCGCCCGGCCCATCAAGGAGTCTGAATATGCAGGTAAGGGTCGGTCTGAAACCTGAAAATGCATGTGTTGCGATGTCGCACAGAGGTTAAAGCTGTGGGCTCTGCATTGAGTAATTGCGGGTTCAAATCCTGCCTCCGTGGCCTTCTAGAGGTGGGACCTTGAGCAAGTCTCTCATACTCTTCTTCTCTGTTTGAATGGGGGTCATCGTCATAGAACTTATTCCAGAGAGTTCTGAGGAGGATGCCACGTAGGATGTATGTGGAGTTCCCCTGAGAGGACTTGGCAGAACCACAATTCTGTTTGTTGTTGTTGTTGTTTTAGTATATTTTTATTGATTTCAGATAGGGAGACAGAAATAGAAACATCAATGATAAGAGAGAATCACCGATGGGCTGCCTCCTGCACACTCCCAACTGAGGATCATGCCTGCAACCCAGGCATGTTTCCTGACTGGGAATCAAACCAGTGACCTCCGGGTTCATAGGTCAATGCTCACCCACTGAGCCAAGCCGGTGGGGCTGTAACTACTGGATTTTATCATCACTAGGGGCCTGGTGCACGAAGATTTGTGCACAGGGGTGGGTTCCTCAGCCTGACCTGCACCCTCTCCAATCTGGGAGCACTCAGGGGAGCCCTCTCCAATCTGGGAGTTTCTGTCTGTCTTTGCAATCATATGTGCAAATTGTCCGAGACACCAACCCAGTTTGGTTTGTTGCTCACAGAATAATAAAGGCTTTTTTTTTTTTCTTTTGCTTCATTGGTGGAGATTTTCTGGAAGTTTTAGGATATCTTCCCTTTAATTTTTCCTAGACACTCTGATTTTACTTGTGTCTCTCACCTTTGCTTTTCCTCCATCCCCCACGCAACAGTAACTTGCTCCAGTCTCACTTTGCTCTAGTGTCTATGTGATCTGTCTCCCACCAGAACTACAATTCCCAGCATTCCTGGTGCTCCCCTAACTCTGGGCTTCTGCTTCTGGTCCTGGGCCTGCCACCAGAACTACATTTCCCAGAATTCCTGGTGCTACCCAAGCTCCCTTCCTGCTCTGTCTCTGTCCCATGGCCTCCCACTCTGCCAAGTCCTCCAAGCCACTAGCTTTTCCTCACGGCCTCCTGCTCTGCCAAGTCCTCTCTGCTCACCAGCTCTTCCTCAAGCTGCTCCATGCTTCACTGGCTCTCCCATTCTGCTCTTTGCCTGGTGCATATGTATGCAAATTAACCTGATGTTTCTGTTGGGTAAATTTGCATACTCACTCCTGATTGGCTGGTGAGTATAGTTGAGGTATGGTCAATTTACATATTTCTCTTTTATTATATAGGATAGTACTCTTCCTGAGCCCTGGAGCCACTGGGGAGCATGGCAGGGGGTGGGCAGCCAGAGATGCCTGCATGGAGGGGTGGACAGAGAATGACAGGAAGAATTTTCACTGAGCAGATCCATTTGGCAGGTAGCCTGCCTAGGAGCAGCACCAGAGCATGGCAGTAAAGCCCAACTTCCTCAAAGTGGGGAAGGCCTAACTTCACATCCAAGTTGCCTCTCTCTAACTGGGGCACACTGGGCAGCTCCAGAGAGTTCTCTGAACCTTTGGTGTGGCACACTTTTGGGAGAGAACGAGGATGGGTTGGTATGTCTGAGGGCCAGACCCACTGAAAGGATTCTACAGAAAGTTCTTTTGAAGAGAATCACCTTGTAAATAAGGATGCTATTCCTTGGTTCACTCTCTCAACAAGCATTTTATTGAGTACCTATTGCATGGCAGTTACCATGTTGGGACTGACTAAGGGGTACAAAGATAAAGCATAATCCATGTCCTCAGGGAGGTCACAATCTAGTGGCAGAAACAGAAGATCAATAGATAAATTCGGTAGAATATGTTAAGTGTATAAATTAGAAGGAGAGCATAGGGTCTAGAAAGATCTTCAAAGGGTGTGATATAGCCCATGCCTGAAAGGATGAGAAGAATTCCCAGGAGGTGAGAATGAGGGTGTTCTAGTCCAGACTTTGGCGTTTATTACATGTACGGACCAAGCAGAGGAATTTCTCCTCTCCCTGCCTCAGTCTTCTTCGTCTGTGAAGTGGGAGTGCAATTGCTTGCCTCGTGCTTTTGTTCTGGTGACTCAATGAGTTCGCAGATACACAAAAGTTTTATAAATTGTGCTGAGTGATGGAACGGATGACTAATTTTTACTCTTTTCACAGATACTCGCTATTTCAGGGGTGTGGTGGACACTCCCCTTTCCTTAGGTGACAAGATTTCTATCCCTGATGAGGGGCAAACCTGGACCACACAGGAAAAAGTGAGTAAAGGTCAACTGTGTGACCATGTGAATCAAACAGGTGTGGGGCACCTCCTAGCAGCCAGGAGCTCATCTCTCATTCCCGAGGCATCTTGTGAGGAATGAGCCAGTCAGGCTCCTGTGACTGGTGGGACTGTGGTCCCGTGGAAGGGAGGAGAGACGACACTTGCTGAGAATATTCTGTGAGCCAGGCAGCAGGCTTCCACATGCATTCTCCAAAGTTCACCCCATTCCCAGAAGCAGAATTTGAACTGGGATCATTTAGGTAAGAATGTACCATTTTGCCCAGATTCTTGGCCAAACACAGAAATAAAAATCCCTGCCATGCTTACTTCAAAGGCTGTTTGGAAACTACAAAGAAAATCTTGTGAAAGTATTTTGTAAATGCAAATGTTCTACGCACATATATAGAACGTTATTTTTAATAACACTTTTGCTAATGTTTCATTTTCTTAATGCATAAAATACAAATTAATCACTCCTGGGGCGGCAGGGGCTCTCAGTACTAATGTGTGATTTCCTATCAGTATTTTCTATGCAGACATTTTATGCAAGGGAGTTCTTATTGTATAATATACACATGATTTCCTTATTTTTACCTTATATTCTGGCCTGCAGGGATCAAGCTGAAACAGGCTTTCCAACATCCCCCGCGGGGTCCTGGATTGCAAAGAGGGACCAGGCCAAGGGACCCTACTGGTGCACAATCAGGGTTTGGGAGGGACTGCAGGAAGGCTCCAGGGTGTGTCCAGCCATCTTGTTTTAACCAGTCTTGATCAGGGCCAATCGGGGCTGACCAGCCAGGGAGGAACTGTGGGAGGGCTTCAAATGTACTGGGCCCATCTAGCTTGGTCCCGATAGGCCAGACCCCAGCAGCAAGCTAACTTCAGGTCGAACAGTCGAACAAACAATGGGACACTTAGCATGTTAGACTTTTATTATATAAGATTGCCCATGTGATGAACATTAATAAGCAAAATTTTTATAGATATACCCAATTATAGAATTTTTAATTATTTTCTTTAACCATGGAGGGGAAACATTTTAAAAGCTTTTGGTACCTGTTGTAAAATTTCTTATTTCAAAATGTATTTAATTTACCTACCCAGCAGCTCTATATGGGAACGGCCACCTCATAGAACCAAGACTGGCTATTACTTTTTAAATTATCTTCAAGTGATTTCACTGATTTTTTTTATTATTGTGTCACATTTATTGGTGAGTGTGAACATGCTTTTGAATATAGCACATTCTTTTTTGTGCATTATTTTTTCACATTCTTCATCTATTTCACTTGAGGGCTTCTATTAATATTGACAAGAAAAGGAAATCACAAACTTTACCATGTCATTTACACAGAACACACCCAGGAGAGACTGGGAGAGCAAGATGAGGGGTAAAATACTGAACACTTCCTCTTCACACAGGCACCATGCTCAACACTGTAATCATTCACTCAACAAATTCACTCAAGAAATATGTGAATATTCAGTGCCTGCCATGTACCAGACACAATTATAGGCTCTGGTGTGCGAGTCGCTATGCTCATGAAATTTACATGCTAGTGGAGGAGTTCATTCATAAATGAATAAGCACTAGACCATCAAACAATACGTCAAGTGGTAAGCGCTTTAAAAAAAAATAAAACCCAGCCAGTGTGGCTCAGTGGTTGAGCATTGACCTATGAACCAGGAAGTCAGGATTTGATGCCCCATCAGGGCACATGCCAGGGTTGTGGGCTCAGTCCCCAGTGTGGGGTGTGCAGGAAGCAGCTGATCAATGACTCTTTCATCATTAATATTTCTTTCTTTCTTTTCCTTTCCATTGCTCTCTGAAAGCAATGAAAATGTATTTTTTTAAAAAATAAAAATAACTAAAGACAAGTATGGAGAGTTATGGAAGGTCTTTCTGAGTAGAAGTTGGAATGAATAGTGACATTTAATCCTCAAGATAACTTTGCAAGGTGAGCATTATAATCCCTGTTAAGAGCTCCAGCTTTTATGAGCTCTATCGGTTTGGGCCAGTTACCCTCTCTGAGCCTTTATAGCTCAGCTCAAGATCTCATGACTATTAGGCTAGTACATACAGAACACAGGGAAGGCAGCAAGCTAAGGGTGCAAGAAGAACACTGAAATAGCCTCCAGCATGCCAGTCTCCAAAGGGTAATCTTGGAGGAATTAGAAACTGATGGTGCAATGAAAGAAGCCATAGCAACAACAAAACCCAAACCATGCTCAACTCCCAACTAGGCTGGCCAGCTGAAGAGCCATGCCCTTTTCAAGCATAAATATGGCAGTTCAATGTTCCACAGAGGGCAGAGGTGGGCATTGAACATCCAAGATAAGAGGTCACAGGGAACCAATGACCCCTCCTTCCCATCTACCTTGGCCACCTCAACTTGATGCCAATAAAGAGGAACACTAAGACCTTGTGTTAGTCAGGGTTGTCTAGAAACATAGGGCAGATAGAAATGGAGAGAGAGAGAGCGAGAGAGCGAGAGAGCGAGAGAGAGATACATACACATACACATACACATACACATACACATACACATACACATCTAAATAAAATAGCGACTATGGAGGCTAACTCCAAGCTCTGCCGTCTGCATGCTGGAGAGAGACCCAGGACAGCCAGTGGTGGAAGTTGCCATCTGAGTCTAAAGGTCTGAGAACCGAGGGAGTTAATGGTGTCAATCCCAGCTGAGGTCAGGAGGAAACCAGTGTCCCAGCCAAGCCGAGATCAACTTATCCTTTCCTCTGCCTCTTCATTCTATCCAGCCCCTAAACTGGCGGAGGCCCACCTGCACCGGAAGGGCCCTCTGCTTTATTCAGTCTACTGATTTGATTCAAATGCTCATCTCCTCTGCCAACAGCCTCATAGACACACCCAGAAGTAACAGCTAACCAAATAACTGAGGCCCTGTCAAGTTTTTTTGTTTGTTTGTTTTTTTAAATATATTTTATTGATTTTTTTTTTTTTTTTTTTTTTTTAGAGAGGAAGGGAGAGAGATAGAGAGCTAGAAACGTCGATGAGAGAGAAACATCGACCAGCTGCCTCTTGCACACCCCCTACCAGGAATGTGCCCACAACCAATGTACATGCCCTTGACCGAAATCGAACCTGGGACCTTTCAGTCCGCAGACCGACGCTCTACCACTGAGCCAAACAGGTTTTGGCTGAGGCCCTGTCAAGTTAACACAAAAGTAATCATCATAGACCCCAATATTGACGGGCTTAAAGGCTTTCAAAGGCACTGGGCACTATTATGATGTATTCGTCATCTTCTTCACCCTCAGGTCTAGCAATTGTACAGCCCTTAGTAGTTCATTAATGTCTTTCATGATATTAATAATGATAACTAACAATTATTACACCTACATGGTGCCAACCCACTCCCTTCTCGAGGCACTTTGCATGATGTGTCACATGTAATCCTCCCTCTCTTCAGAGGTATCAGTACTTTTGTTGCCTCCATTTCACAGATAAGGAAACTGAGGCACAGAAGGTTCAGTAAGTTGTTACATTTTATAGCTAGCACATAGTGATGGAGGTGAAATCCCAACCCACGCAGTCAAAAGAGGCCACATGCTGATCTGCCTGATCAATTACTTTCAGTGTCCTTGATCCTATAGGTTGGTCTTCATAATAGCTCAATGATGTGAATTGACTAAGTATTGTCCCTATTATAAAATTGAAAAATCTAAGGCTCATAACATGCTGAATACCTTTCCAAAGGTTCACAGCAATTAGAGACAGGCTTGGATCTCAAATTCAAGTATTTTTATGACAAACTAGAGGCCCAATGCATGAAGATTTGTGCAAGAAAGGGCCTTCCTTCTCCTGGCTGCTAGCACTGCCTTCACTCTGGCCAGAGCCACCTTTCCACCTTCCCATGCTGCCCAGCAGCCCAGAGCTGCTGGGACAGTGTGGAACACCTGCATCATCACCATGGTGATGATGCAAGCATCCTGCCCCCGGCCTCTCTCAGAGCCTGCATATGCAAATTAACCTGTCATCTTTGTTGGGTTAATTTGCATGCTCACTCCTGGTTGGCTGGTGGGTGTCGTGAAGGTATTGCCAATTTGCATCTTTCTCTTTTATTAGTGTAGATACCATCCAAGGCCACTACACTCTTCACTGGCACAGGGGGACAACTACTGACATGTATTGACTGCCTGCCAATCATACACACATGGTGATCTCCAAGAACAGTGAGTCCAGAGACCTATGCCTCTATCCTTGGGACTCTAACCAGAAAGTGTAGTAGGACATTATATGGTATCATAGTCACAATTAGTAGGACATTATAAGATATCATAGTCACAATGTAAGAGATAATGGTGCCCTATTGTCTTCTACAGGGGGACAAACCTACTACCAAGGACATCAGGAGCCAACATGCTAAAGGTAAAGTCAAGTCACAACGTTTGACAGAGAAGTAGATTTCTTTGCTTCCAAAATCTTTTTGTATTTTTGTTTGTGGCCACAGATTTTTTTAAATCAGGGAGCTCTATTGAACTTTCATCCTTCATGAAATATCTACTTTTTCAAAGATTCTCATACATCTTGTGCCTTTTTATCACCTTATTTTATTGATGAAGTAATCGATTGTGAAAACTCATAATCTGGGTTGTGCAATTTCAGAAAGAAATCATTTTAAAACATATGGATTTCATTTAACTTCTAAGTTGTTTTTCTAAGCATACCCCCAATAAAATCATAAGATAGAAACTTAATTTTAAAATGTTGATTAATTAATATAAAAACAGATATTAAAGCTTTAGGCAAAACAGCTCAATTTTGAGATGAAGATACATGTAGGAGGCAGAGGGGAACTAATCAATGTCAGTGGTGCTCAAAGCACAAATAGAGGACAAAGTAATGTAATAGGATTGTATCCACCATAATTTCTCTCATTATTTTCCCCTATGTCCCCATCCTCTCTCACAGTGCCCAAGTGGAAAATATGACAGTCCCATGATTTATATTTCCCAATAACTGAAACATATAAAGGTCACCTTTTATGTGTCTATTGCTTTGTTTTAGAACATATTACTAATCCCACACTTTCTCTAATGGGAAAGTTAGGGTCCTAACAGAAATATTAATAGCATGCCCAAATTAGGATAATGTCAGGTAGTTTATTTGCTAGGAGCAGTTTGCTGAGGGGTGTGGGTATAGGGGAAGAACCAGAGATGGTGCCAGAACTAGGGCTAAAGCAGTGGCCACTGTCACCACTCCCCAGGCCCAGAGCAATGAGGCAATAGTGGCTGAAGATCAGAAGGGGCACATGCCTTCAGAGGAGCAGTGACCACTGGTTAAGGGACACCACCAGCCCAAGTGCACAAGGTGGAAGCCAAGGAAACATATGCCTGGCCTCCCTCTTATGTCCTGGGGCTTCCCAAAGGAAAAGCCAGATGGAAAAGATGTGCAGGGCAAGGCATGAGGGGAGGGGGAGGAGATTCCATGCTTCCTGAATCTCCAGGTGTCCACCAACCCAGAAGCTTCATTACATGGATAAGAGTAATTAGCTTAATGGCCATTGGTGACCGAACCCCATCTCCAGCCCCCTCCCCTTCCCAGCTTCCAGTTAGAATGAAAATTCCAGCCCCTCAATTCCATGAATGGCTCCAGGCAACAGCCCCCATCTTTAGGTGTGGCCTAAAACTTGCCTCATTAACATAAAAAAGACGCCTATACAGTTCTCACCACTTAGGAAATTCTAAGGTATTTGGGAGCTCTGTGCCAGACACAGGGACCAAGACTAAATACATATTTTTTATTATAAATCACAGTATCACAATTATCCTTTCATTTCTTTATCTATACTTTGCCTCTTCACACAAAGACATTGGAGTCATTAACAAAAATGTGCTTAGTAAGATAGAAGAAAATGAAAATAAAAATCGTAGAAAAAGTCTAGGTGACCCGGATGACAAAGATAAAATTCGGGATCCACAGGCGCACATCACTACATTGTATTAAGATGAAGATATTAATTGGCCTCTGAGCTTCCTGGTAGTCTAAGCAAAAAAGGGGATCGTGTTGCTTTATGGATATTAATTGTCCATAATACAGAAAGCAAACCAAGTTGTCAGGGAGAGCAATAAGGACATACCTTTCAGAGATAAGTTAGTGCTGTCAATTTTACAGGGGATGTTGGCTGGAATATGGGTAGCAGGGCTACAAAAATAGGACTGTTTTTTTTTTTAAAAACAGATGCCAGTGTCAATAGAGGCCAAAACTACAGAGGGGACCTCAGTGAAAGCCAGGCATACAGAAGTTTGGGCTTTTAGGGAGTGGAGGAGGTGGTGTAGAAAACTTCAGTAGGAATTATTTTCTTTACATCCTCCCACACGCCCATAATTGATGGTTCTCCATTACTGCCCAGAGCTCGAAGGTAACACAGAGGAGGAAGCTAGAAGAAGGAGAATTGATATGAATGCCCCTGTTTTTAAGATTAGGCATCTTGCTAGAAAATGCTTCAATGATTTATGTGTTTATTACAAACTTCTGTGTTTCTGATGCAAACACATTCTCAGATAATTTATTCTTTCTCACAAAAAAAAAAACATACCGGGTGGTTCAGTAATGGCAGGATTTTATGGTGATATTTTTCATCAAGTTGAGCAGTTATAGATTTATGTTAATGTACATTTCATGTCATTTTTCTTACAATCATCTTCTGACATTATCTGGAAGCCGTCAGATTTTAAGAACTTATCTTCCCTGAAGCTTGACTTTATTTTCATTCCTGAAAATGGATAAAAGTTTTACTTGAAGGCAAAGTACATATATATAGTCTAAGTTGCCTGTGATGAACCATTAGCATTAACCACAGATTCAGAGGAAATCATCTTTTCAAATGGGAATGGCTGTAATATTTGAATGTGGTGTGGCTGAGCTTCCTAACGCTGAGAATAAAGGAGGCGAAAATGACTCTCTCTTTGCCTTGGGTGTACTAGTAAACGAAACACACTCTAAACCAATTTCCTTTGAAGTGACAAGCATACCCTACACAAGAAATAATTTATAACAAACTACAATAAACTACACAAGAAAAGAAAGAGAATTACACAGAGGCGACTGGACATGCAAATACGGAAACATGAACTTGTTTGAAAAGAAACAAAACAGAATTCCACATGATGCCATCGGAAGACCTGTCTACTGGTTGGCTTTCAAACAGATTGAGATGCCAAAGGAATCAGAATCAGAGATGACGACGTTGATTTTAATCGGGTTCAACTCCCTCGTGTTATACAAAGGGGTCTGGAGGGAAAAGTGGCTTGTTCAAGGTCACCAAGCAAGTATTCACAACCCAGACCAGAATCCAGTGTTTTGACATCGATGGCAATGACCCCAGAGTTCCACCGTTGATGCTAGTATCTAAAATTTATTCTGCAAAGCCCCTCTCCTATTTCCTAACCAATAGCCTACTCATCCACCTTGTGAAGAATTGATAGATGGTGCTGCCGCCTAGTGGCGGAACACTGCAACACAAAATATCACAAAAATGATGCACGTTAGCATCCTATATATTATATCCTTAACAGGTTTAAATTTATTTCAGACACAACCCCTGGCTCAAAAACAACAGAGGCATTAATACAATATTCAGTTCAAAGTGAACGTTACAAATTTTTAAAAATTACAAAAAAAAACAATCATTGCGACAACAGGGCAGTTAGGACTGAGCCTTACTTTCACCACCACTGAAAGTAAGGCTCAGCCCTAACTGGTTTGGCTCAGTGGATAGAGCGTTGGCCTGTGGACTGAAGGGTCCCAGGTTTGATTCCAGTCAACGGCAGGTACCTTGGTTACAGGAATATCCCCAGTAGGGGGTGTACAGGAGGCAGCTGATCAATGTTTCTTTTTCATCAATATTTCTAACTCTCTATCTCTCTCCCTTCCTCTCTGTGGATCGTCAATAAAATATATTTTTTAAAGAAAGTAAGGCTCAGAGAAAAGGAAAGACGTCTGATAACTGCTTGACAGAGCAAATATGTTTTGTCTGACAGAGACATATAAAGTAGCCACAAGTGGGAGACTTTAAAAAACAGGCAGCTGCAGTCCTCTGTGATAATGGCCAGGGGAGAAGGTCACTTTGTTTAAAATTGCTTCATGCCAGGGCCACAAGGAGCCCAAGTATGGCAAGTTCTCTGTTAAGTATTGTGGGAACTCAGGAAGGCTTCACAGAACAAGGGACATTGGAATGAAGTGTGAGATGGTAACTTCAGGAGGCATCAAGTACTATTTCTGATGCTCAGGAGCAGCTAAGATGTGGTTATGTGAATGCTGGAATTGGGGACAAGGCGCCTTGGGTTCAAATCCCAGTGATAATGCTTTCCAAACATGGAATCTACAAGTATCTTCCATCTCCAAGGTCAGGTGTCTATAAAAATGAAGAAAATAACACTACATCATAAGGTATTTGTGTGTTTTAAAGGTGATAAGCTAACCTACCAGTTGGAGCGTCTGCCCCCTGGTGGTCAGTGTGTGTCATAGCAAATGGTTGAGTGGCCTTAGCATATCATTAGCATATTACACTTTGATTGGTTGAACAGTCAACCAGTCACCAAATGACTGGACACTTAGCATATTAGGCTTTTATTATATAGGATTTTTAAAGTATAGCTGTGTTTAATTACTGCATTGCAAAACTCCTGAAAATGGAAAAACCAGCTCTTATAAATTGTTACAAGCTATTCGGACACACCACAAAAACGTCTGGTGATACTTTCTTCTTCTCCAGGGGGTTTTGCTTTAACTTCACAGACCTCTGTGAAGCTGAAACATTCTTCATGGTTTCACCCCAAAAGGTTATAGAGGTCAGACAGGGACCAACGAATCGCATAGCCATGCAGTGCTCACCTCACTGCATTACCTCCAAGAAGCTGTCAACTCTGCAGCTGAAAGATCTGTCTTTTCTCAGACTGAAGACCCAGGTCGGAGGGTGCTAGTTGCACTTGTGGCCGCCAGATGGCGATCATGCAGCCGTGTTCCTGTGAAACTGCTTTATTCCATTTCACCATGGGAAAGACATAGAAGAAGAAATATTTGGGTCTTCCTGTGTGATAGACATAAAACTTTTTAAAGCTTGAGAATATGTACTTCACCGGGAAGCACATAATTTTTCCATTACACAATAATCCTAGTAACAGTGGGTATCCAAGAAAAGCCATGGATTGGAAGTTCTGAAATCATTTATTCCCCCCAGGAATTCCCATGAAGTGTAACATTCCTCACTTTTCCCCATGTGAAAATTCAGCCTTTCCTCAATCCATTTGTTGACTTCATGTGTATTTATTGAGCTCCTGCTATGATTCTGCCCATAATAAGTAGCAGAATTAAGATTCAAATTCAAAAAAATTCAATTCCAATCATATCCTCTTCCATTAGCCCAAACACCTGAGGCATTATCACTTTATGAAACAAGACCCCCAACCCACCCCACCCCACAAAAAAAAAAAAAAAAAAAAAACCTGGTTGGATTTCATCTGGGTTATCTTCAAGCTGTATGACATCATGACACGTTGCTTCCTATGTGATCTAGTTTTCTTATTCATGCATTCCCTGACATTCATCTCTAACTCTTAGTTTGTTGGATTTCAATGCTCCAAGTCAGCAATTTTCAACCTGTATGCCACAAAGATTTTTAAAACGTGCTGTATCTGACTTCTTTTCCCTTAGATTGTCAAATTAAAAAATGATAACAGCCAACACAACAATTGCCAACCAGTGTGAATGACTCAAAAGTGTACTTTCTTGGACAGATCAGCAAAACATATATATTTTGGTATACCGAAAGATTATAGTAATTAGTTTATGTGTGTCATGAGATAAAAATGGTTGAGTCCTAGCCAAGTACCTCAGTTGGTTAGAGCATCATCCCAATACACCAAGGTTTTGAGTTTCATGCATGGTCAGGGTACATACAAGAATCAACCAATGAATGCATAGATAGGTGGAATAGATAGGTGTAAAAACAAATTGATGTTTCTCTCTTTTACTCACTCTCCCTTCTTCTCTCTCCCTTCCTCTCTCCCTCTAAAAATAAATATTAAAAAAAAAAAAAGGTTGGCACTCCTAGCATGGCTCAGTGGTTGAGCCTCGACCTATGAACCAGCAGGTCATGGTTCGAGTCCCAGTCAGGACACATGCCCGAGTTATGGACTCGATTCCCAATGTGGGGCATACAGGAAGCAGCTGATCATGATTCTCTCCCATCACTGATGTTTCTATCTCTCTCTCCCTCTCACTTTCTCTCTGAAATCAATTTTTTTAAAAGAAAAAGGTTGAAAGTCACTTATCTATGTGATGAATGGGAGAAGCATGAACAGCATAAATTACCATGAGTAGGCATGTTTGATGTTGCTGAAACCTTTGGGGATTTTTGTCATTGCTGCTGATAATAGCATATCCAGATTATTCAAGTGAGGGCACTACTAAATGATGCCAGAGAAAACCCAACATTCCATTGAAGGCACAAAACCCTTGGGCTCTGTATCAAAAAGATGCGCCATGACTGAGGCAGAATTCTTACCACAGCCCACCAGACCCCTGTGACCTGGGCACCCCCACCTCCACAACCAACCCTCCCCTATCTCGCCCCAGGGCCTTTGCACTTGCTGTTCCCTCTCCCCAATATTCACATGCCATGCTCCCTCACCTTCCTCTAGCTCCGTTCCCATCAGCTATCCAGGAGGCCTTCAGGAGTCTGCCAAAAACACAGCAGCCCCATGCCCCGTCTCTCCCTCTCCCTGCCCGACTGTCCCTCACCCTGCTTCATTTTTATTGGGGCACCTGTCACCACCTGTCATCATGGACTTCGTTTTCTATCTCCTGCCACTGAAACGTAAGATATGTGGGAACAGCAGCGTTCTGGTGGCTTTGTTTTTTGGTTTGTTTGTTTTTTTGATAGTACATTCCCCGACAACTACATCAATACACATATTGAAAAGGAATCCATGCCTGACCCATGCTATGTGCGCAATAATGTCAGTGAATAAAAGGAAGATGGATGTCCTCTTCTGAACTCCCGGTCACTGAAGCAGATGAGATAGATGTCTCTGGAACAATAAATGGAGTGTTCCTATTGAATTCGGACGCTCGGTCACTTTATTGAATTGTGTTTCCAGTGAATTGAATTGATCCCCCATAGGTGAGTGGTAGCTATGAAAGAAGACTGCTAGGAAGGCCAGCTCTAGCTTCCCGGGGACGGTCATCAGTACCAGCAGCCGGATGGCTCCCCGAGCAGCTTGGGAGGTGAAGCCAATACTCAATAAAATGAGGGCAGGTTCGTTTTCTGTGTTTCTAACTCTGTGCTTTAAGAAAGCAACAGAGGATCTAAACTTTTCTGTCATATCATCACAATAGCCAGAGATACAACATGAACTATATTGCTGCTGCTGGTGAGATGCGCCCTGGTTCATATTTTGTGTTTTTCCAATGATTCCCATTTGCCACCAGTGCTTGAACTCATGCCGGGAGGCCTACCCTTGCTATTTAAAGAGTATTTTCCAAAACAGAAACAAAATAGGAAAATGGTAATTCTATTCAATGAGTTAGTTACTGTAGATCTGGGAGAACCCTGAAATCATCTAGACAAGTATGTGTGGTGTTGTGTTGTGTTGTGTTGTGGTGTGGTGTGGTGTGGTGTGGTGTGGTGTTGTGGTGTTCTGTTGTGTTGTAATGTAGTACATCTTTACCCAAAAGAAATTTTAGCCGAAACCGGTTTGGCTCAGTGGATAGAGCATCGGCCTGCGGACTGAAAGGTCCCAGGTTCAATTCCGGTCAAGGGCATATACCTTGGTTGTGGGCGCATCCCCAGTAGGGGGTGTGCAAGAGGCAGCTGATCAATGATTCTCTCTCATTGATGTTTCTAACTCTCTATCCCTCTCTTTTCCTCTCTGTAAAAAATCAATATTTAAAAAAAAAAAAAAATCTTAAAAGGAGATCCCATGGGAAGTAGATAAAGTGGAAGCTTCCCCCTCCCACACGCCTCCAATGAAGTGGGTGTGAGCCAGAACCAGCTCCCAGCCCTCAGGCTTCTTAGGAATCCCTGAAGAGAGCCCAGGGAGTTTTTCAGAGCATGTTTAAACCTTCAGAGCATGTAGTCCAACCTTGTCTCACAAATAAGGAACTTGGATTAGTGAGATTGCTATTGGTAAAAGAATGTTCATTTGAATCAAGAATTACTGGTTAAGAGGGGACCTAAAATCTTATTCTAGCATTTGCTAACTTCAGGGTGGCCGGAAGCAAGATACTTAACTTTCCCATGCCTCAGTTTCTTTATTTTCAGCACAAAGGAGAGGATTATATGAAATTACATAGCTAAAGCATTTACCTTGATGCTGGGTACCTAATTTGGTATCAATAAATGTTGCCCCGGCTGGTGTGGCTCAGTTGGTTGGAATGTTGTCCATACATTGAAAGGTTGTGGGTTCAATTCCCAGTTCGGACACATACAGGAGATATAGGAGGCAATCAACTGAAGTTTCTCTCACATCAATGTTTCTCTCTCTCTTTATTTCTATTTCTATCTTCCTCCCTCCCCCTCTCTAAATTCAATAAACATATCCTGGGGTGAGGATTAATTTTTTTAAGGTTAATTGACATTATATCTAGATTATTCAAACAGGAATGATTTCCACTTAGCTATGCATTAAAAAAAGGGCGTGATGACATTTTCTGTAAACTCACTGCTGTTCCCTCTCATGTTTTAGGAGACAAGCCCTCCATGAGAAACAAGGTAAGAAGAATCATGAAAATGCATGCATTCCCCACTCCTTACTTTAGAGGCATAGGAAGGTGGGCGCTGTGAATGCTGAGATGTCACTTGAAAACTATATCCTAGAAGTGTAGTTGGGATTTGTAGTTTCTGTTTGTAAAATCAAAAAATTCTTACCCATTAGCTTGGCTCATACAACAATAAATGTAACTTCTGATTCTCTTTCCTTTTGCAGACTCCCTTACCACCTCCTCGGTAAGACAATTAGATGGGTGCTTTGCTCTGCTATATGCTTAGATAATAAGTTCCAGAATTTGAAAAGTTCCAAAATTTTAAAAAGGAAAACACAAAAAGTTGAAAAGTGTTAGTGAGTTAGCCAACAAACTAGATTAAATAAGCCTTCATTCATCCACTCAATCATTCACTCATTCACAGTTGTCCACTCAATATGCCCTCCCTCATCATTGCTTCCCCTAGCCCTTCCTGTCTCCCTCCCTTCTAGTCCAGAAATCTGCCAGATAGAACTGGCCCTCAAAAATGGCATCAATGGACTTGTAGAAGTTTACATTTACATAAGTACATACATAAGTACAAAGAGTATTACATGTGTGAGGACATAGACACGGAGGCGAGAGAAACAGACTTGAATTCTAGGCAGCCACTCTTGTTCTCCTGGGAGTACTTCAGTCATTCCCTCCCGGGAACCTTCTCACCACTGCTCTCTGCCCTCCCGGAGGGAAGTACCTGAGCCAGCGGCTGAGTCCTTTCTTCTCTGCGTTCCCAGCATCTGTCAATAGCGCCCCATGCCCCTCTCAGTGAGCGAGTGGATGGTGAATACGTGGGTGAGTGAGGCAGTCCCTGACATTCAAGCATTTCCCCCATTTCTTTGGGAATTTACACAGCTCAGATATCCCAGTCTGGAGTAAATGGAAGGCTATTGTGATATTTTGTCCCCGGGCCTCCTAAAACACAAACAGGTGGCATATGGAAGAACCAAAGACACCCTTTAGCAAGTCACATCAGAGCCCAGCCAGCATGGCTTAGTGGTTGAGCATTGACCAATGACCCAGGAGGTCACGGTTCAATTCCCCATCAGGGCACATGCCTGGGCTGCAGGCTCAGTCCCCAGTGTAGGGTGTGCAGAAGGCAGCTGATCAGTTATCTCTCCCTCCCTCTCCCTTCCTCTATGAAATCAATAAAAAATATTTAAAAAAAAAAAAAAAAAAAAAAAAAGCAAGTCCCATCAGAAAGCAGAACAAACCACAGAGCGCGGGGCAGGAAGATGGACGTGGGCTCCTTAGGTGCCTCCGTGCTGCTGGGGCTATCGCAGGCCTGAAATGGAGCAGGCGGGGCTGTAAGCCTCTGCCCCAAACACTGACGCGCACCACCAAGGCGGGCGCACTGCGGGCAGGCGTGTGGGGAGCCCCCTGTGCACGGACTTCTCACTTTCCCCTGTGACTCTTCCCGCAGGCTGCCTGTCACTCTTCCGAAGAAGTACCAGCCCCTGCCCCCCGAGCCAGAGGGCAATGTGTCCCCCTCCCTGCAGAGGCACCCCTTCCCCGAAGCCCAGAGGGCGCCCAGGTGAGAGCCTGGCCAGGGCTGCTGGTGAAATGGCAGTGGGGAGGGGTGTGCTCAGAGGAATAATGCTTCCGGAGTCTGAGCAGAGCAATCATAAGGGACCTTCTCCCTTTATTCATTTCAAATGTCTTTGTCTCCTAAAGTTGGGGCTTCCTGGCCCTTTTGCAAGTTTTCAAAAGAGCCCTTTGCATGCTTAGCGGATGTCTCGCAGGAAGCTTGCAGCCTTGAGTTCAACACAATCCAGTAGCCTTGAGCACAGATAACTAAAAGACACCTGGCATGGGGGTAGCTAGGGAGGGCAGCAGACTGGCTTGCAAGATCAGACGGTTAAGCTTATTTTCCCTATCATTAGAGCAAACATCTTTTATAGAAGCCAATAACAGCAGAATTAATTCACGGAAAAGAACCTTGTATGTCTAGCGGAAATTTCAAACAACAGTTTTTTTACAAAACAGAGGTTACTGTGCTCCAAAGCCACACGGCCAATTGGTAGTGTTCCAAATACGCCATGGTCACTTAAACGTGAAAGCCCTGAGATGAGCCTCAATTTAACCCAAAATTAATTAATACTATGGGTGTTCGTTCTACTTTGTTACTTCGAATCCTATCTATCGTCTCACCTGGCCCATTAAAAGAAAGAGGCAGGGTGTAAATGTCCCATCTCAGAGGAGCTATGCACCAGGTTAAAGACCCTAGGCGTAGCTCAGTGGTTGAGCATCAACCTATGAACCAAGAGGTCAGGGTCAGGTTCCTGGTCAGGGCACATACACAGGATGTGGGCTCAATCTCTAGTGTGGAGCATGCAGGAGGCAACCAATCAATGATTCTCTCTCATCATTTCTCCTTCTCCTCTCTCTGAAATCCATCTATAATAATACAAGTGTAATATGCTAACTAGACCAAACGTCCTTCCAGATGACCTTCCAGATGAAGCTGCGGTGGCAGGGGCTAAGGCAGAGTGGGCAGGGCTGAGCCCCTTGCATGAATTTTGTGCATTGGGCCTCTAGTAGAAAATTTTAAAAAATAATAAAATAAAAAAGAACGTGGGACCTCAGTACCGGTGCCTGTTGTTTGAGATCTGACAGGGCGTAGCACCAGATGCTTCCGGAATTATCTAACCGAATACAGGCAAGTGTTGTAACTCCAGGTCAACAGCCTTCGCCTGAGATTGGGTTGCAACCTCAAACTCCAGGCATTTCTTCACCCCAATCTCTCACCAGCAGGCCCATGTAGACAGAATGAGGGTTAGAGACGCTCATTGGCTTGCCTGTCAATATCAATGAAAGGCTTGGAGTTTCTCCCAAGACTTGTCTAGTGTCCACATAGCAATTCTCAGTGTGCATTCCTCCTCTCTCGTTCAGCTCCCGGGGTTTTCTGGCGCAGGACTCCGTCATTATCAGCACCCTTCCTCCCCCACACACCTGCCGGGGATCCCGCTGTGCCAGACACTCTCCTAGTTAGAGCTCTTTACACTGCCTCGGAGCAAGAAAACCACGAGCTTTCAAATCAAGGGAATGACAGCAGGTCTGGCTGAGGCAATGAAACCTGACAAGGAAAACCAAATGTCAGGAGGAATGATGATGTTATTTAAATTCTCCTAAAGCGAGAAGCAAGTTTATTTGTGCCCTTTCTGCCACCACTTTTCACATGGCCTCATCACTTCTTCTTGTGGTTAGGAAATTATGAGAAAAATAACCTGGCTTTAGTTTTATAGGAGGGTGATAAATATCACACTGGACGATGGGTTGTTGATTTGGCAATAAAAAGGTAATCAATGGTTTTAAGGGCTCAGGATGGTTTTATGTTGACCATTATGAACTGTATTTTATATGACACTGTATTTCTTTTCCCTGCAGACTGATAACCTTAAAGAACTTAAATGAGGTGAGTGGCAACTTCGTCCCAGGTAACAGGGAAGGGGAATTTTTGTGCGTGAAGGGTCTGCGATATGCAAGATACTGTTTGCTTTAAATACTCAGTTACACTTCATTATCATAGCAGCCAGGCTCAGCGTGTGTTCGCAGCCCTACCTTAAAGGTGGAAAAGCTATGCGAGCTGCTTTGACTCAGTGGATAGAGCATCAGCCTGTGGGCTGAAGTGTCCCAGGTTTGATTCTGGTCAAGGGCTCATACCCAGGTTGTGGGCTTAATCCCCAGTAGGGGCATGCAGGAGACAGACAATCAATGATTCTCTCTCATCATTGATGTTTCTATTATCTCTCTCTCTCCCTTGCCCTTCCTCTCTGGAATCAATTTTAAAAAATTATTTTAAATCACATTACCATCTAATCCATAAGGCAATCATGTCCAAGAGAAAGCATAGAACTGAAGAAGAAGAGGCCAGCCCTGGCTCATTCAGTACTTCACCAGCTCACCCTCTCCTGGGAGTTAACTTAGAAAGTTGGGGGTGGTACCCACACACCCAGAGGGATCCACCCCTTTCTTCATGTGAGTGAGATTCATGGGTCCCAAGTAGCAGGTGGCTGCCACTCACAGTGATTTACAGTCCACAACTTAGTGGTCAGTGTGAAAGGACAAGAGGCAAATAAACAAGGACAAGAGAAGGTCAGGCCTGGAGGGCAGGGACCAGGCAGGCCAGTTCATTCTCCTTGTAGCTTTGGTTGGCATTTTGCTAGAAGTTGATATCATCTAAGGAATCATGCAGCTAGTGGGAAAATGTGTTCTTCCTTCTTATCTTTTGCCAAGATATTTCCCCACTGTTTGTCTGGAGCCAGCACTAAGGCCATTTCTTGGTCACAAAAGCTTATCTTATAAGACAAATGTCACTCTTGTGTGTCGCCAGAGTCTCAGAGATCAGAAATGAACTACATGCCCCAACTCAAGTTCACGTAGCACTTGATAATTCTCAAACACAGTAGAGACTCGTGGTCTCATTTAATTCTCACAAAACCCTAAGAGAAGGAAGCCTTAGAGAGGCCAGAGTCCCCCACAGCTGGCAGAGCCCCTGAGAGCCCCAAGTCCAGTGTGCCCCGACCTAGGACTCTCTGAGTTAAGAAATACAGACACCTCTGAGCTCAAATGGAGAGGGGGAAAAAGAAAAGAAGAAAACAAAAGGAAGGAGAAAAGAGGGAGTATGGAAAACATTATTCAGCTTGCATATATTTATGTTCAAAAAACAATCCCAAAAATTAAAGTAGAGAAACTAGAGACGTTTCACTCCACTCTCCTGATCTCATTAAATGTAAATGCCGAGCCCTCAAGGGAGAGGTGGACTGTGTCTCAATTAGATAAAACATCTGTCCCCCCAGCCGGTCGGCTTCTCGGCTTCTCTGCTGCACTGACAGCTCAGGCACCTCCCCTTTGGCCAGCCTGAGAACCTCAGCTGCATCCGATTGAGGCTTTGAACTGCCAGGTTCAAAGTCCTGGGGAAGACTCGGTGGGGAGATGCCAAACCACTCATTAGGACGACTTCATCACCCTCTTCACTCCACCTGAGGGCTTGCCTGCATTGCTGTCCATGATGAAGTGTATGTCCCCTTTCCAGACCCCCTTCCCAGGGCCACCATGGTCTTTGAGACAAAAGAGCTTGTCTATAGACCAGCTTCAGACAAGACTTTCAGAGCCTCTTTAAGCTCTTTGTTGCTAATGGTTTCTCGTCGCTGAAGCAAATGTGAGTTGGAGACCTGGCCTCCCTGGTCAGCTCAGCCACAAGGTAACTGTGGCAATCTGGGTGAATGGCTCCCCCTCTTTGTTTTTGTTTTATTTATGTTTTAATATATTTTCCTTGATTTCAGAGAGAGAGGGAGAGAGAAAAACATCAATGATGAGAGAGAATCTTTAATCAGCTGCCTCCAGCACGCCCCCTACTGGGAAGTGAGCCCACAACCCGGACACTTGCCCTGGGAATCAAACTGTGATGCTCAACCGCTGAGCCATACCAGTCAGGTGGCACCCCATCTTTGTTCCGTATATACAGACTGCTGGCTTAAACTTTTCATGGACCCCAGGCCTTCTTGAAAATTTCATGAAAGGTATATATAATCAACCTTCCTTTAAAATATGCACAGGTGTCTGATGGGGGGAAATGTAGCATCTCATTTCAGAAGGTTCATGCCATCAACGACCTCTTCGGTGCCTCAAATTAAGAGGCTGTGGTCTAAATGATGCCTGAGCTGCTCACCAGCTGCATGAAGTGCACTTTAGAAAAGTATTCTCAATTGCCCAGCCAGTGTTGCTCAGTGGTTGAGCATTGGCCTATGAACCAGAAGGTCATGGTTCAGTTCCTGGTCTGGGCTCATGTCCCAGTGTAGACTTGATCCCCAATGAGGGGGAGGGTGTGCAGGAGGCAGCCAATCCATGATTTTCTCTCATCATCGATGTTTCTGTCTCTTTCTCCCTCTCCCATCCTCTCTGAAATCAATAAAAATATACTTTTTTTTAATTTAAAAAAGAAAATTGTTTACCATGAAGGAGACACTTCAGCAAATACTGGACCTCTTGAAAGGCTTTTTTGCTTCTTTCAGAGTAGAACAGGGCCCAAGAATGCAAGTCCAATAACATAGATTTTTATAATGAAACATGGTCAGGAATTCTACCATTATTATTAAGGAAAGAAAAAGGAACTGTTTGGGAATGGCTACCTTGAAAAAAAAATAATGTGATTATTTTCATACTCCTTTTTTCAAATATGAAGAAAATTAACGATCACCTCATCTCTTAAACACAACCTCTGTTAAGATTTTGTCATATCTCTTCAAATCCCTCTTTACACGCACATACACAGCCCTACATGGAAACATGTCATGAGTCCAGTTTTTATTCTGGACTTTTTATGTAATGTTGAGGCATTCTTAGAGTATAATCTTATTCCACACTTTATGTCAATATTTGTGATACATGGATAATAGTCCAGTAAGTGAATAAGACCAAAGCGTGCTTAACGGGGCCGCTTAGATGGGCATGCAGATTGCTTCCAGGATTTTTTTTAACCTCTATTGTTGAAAGTATTACATATGATTCCCCTCTCTCCCCCATTGACCTCTTCTCACCCGTCCCTGCACATGATCTCACTCACACGTGAAATCTAATGAACAAAATAAGCTGAGGAACAACACTAGATCCAGAGACATAGAAGCTGGAACAGACTGTTCCCAGGGCTTTGACAGTGTAACTGAGGACATGGTGACCAGCTTTGTACATGGAACTCGATACAGATTCCAGGTCCTTTTCTTAGAAAAAGAGTCTCATCCGTGGAATGCTGGGGTGAGAATAACAGTCTCTCTAAGGCCCTTGAGAGCTATGGTTACATTGCTTTCCAAAGAGCCAACGTCATCTTTAGCCTGGATATCTGCCTGTTACATCCCGCGAAGAAGGTACACTTAGTTTGTGCTCAGTCTTTTGAAGTGTTATTTGTAGATTTTTAAAATCTCAATACTAACAAAAATGTTGCCCAATCTTACTAACCAATTGCTCTAAAAATACATACTATGACGTTTTCTAGCACCAAGAATCATTCAACTTTTTTTTCCCCCCCATTTAACACAGGTCCTGGGAGCAGAGAAAGGTAAACTGTTTATGTTTGTTTTCATTGCCTCATCCTGTTAGGCTCAGTGCTGTTTCCCTATTTACAGTGTTAGTCATTTGCTGAAAGAACCAATTGCTTCAGAGCCTGGGAAGGACGAGCACGTCGAGGGGGGTGGGGCAGAGAGCAGGAAACGTGACCCCAATGGACCCAGGACTTCCTATCTGTCCAAGAATGCTCTGGTCTAATGGGGTGACTTAAATTGGGGCTGGGCTCGTGGTCTTTCTTCAGCCGCAGGCTGCTGATAAGGAGGCACAGGTCACCCCCAGGCAGTTTGGGGAGACATTGCCGGCCCCCTGCTCTTGGTCTCTCCCTCTTTGATGTTACCCGTGCACACACACCTAAACCCTCATTTGAGCACATGCACACACACAAACACACACACAAACACACTCACACACCATCGGAGTCACTGCTGTGGAAGCAGGCAATCCAACACTCGCTCACCAGCAGGCAGGTTGCAAAGTAGGCAGTAACCTCATGTCCACCTGTGAAGTGCTGTTCACCACTCACTCAGAATGAAGAATCACGGCCACAGCCAAGGGCTGAGCCTCGCCCAAAGAGTTCACACTGGAAGCGCCGTCACAAAGCAACAGGGACCTCCACCGACCCGCTGTGGCTCTGGCCAGGCCACAGGCCTCCGTGGCTCTCCAGTGTGCTGTTCCTTATACTGAAGACGTTAGGCTTGAGCAAGACCATATCTGGGCTTACAGATTCCCAAGGCCTCTGATGGAGGATTGGGGGTGGGGTTGGGGGGATGTCTCTGGGCGATCTAAAAAAAAATTGAAACCTGAAAGAAAACTGAGCCCTTTCCCACGCTGAAGCTCAGCATCCTCAGGGGTTGTTGTCATGGGTTCCATTGATGGTCAATGCAACGACCTTGCACAGCTCACAGGAGCAGGTGCTCTGGGTAGCTGCTGATGACACAAGCGCTTTTATAGGAGGTGCAGCTAGTGGGCTAGTCACTGACTCCAGTCTCATTCCAAGTAATCACAGTCCCTCAATCAAAAGTGTCCATTCGGTGATCAACCTTGGACAGAGCACAGAGTCACTCCCCAGTGAGGACCCGGAGGTGTCTGTACGCTTCTTTAGCTCTATGACTGCAGCCGAAATGGAGAGCGTTTTATGGGGTTTCATACCAGGGCAGTATTGTGTGCCCTTGGTGCTTCTGGTAGCTGATTAAAACCTACTCACAATGAGAAGGAAATAAAAAGCGATACAGCAATGGCTTATGTGATTACTAAATAACTCCAGTTCATCTGGTTGGCAGAATTGTCCAAAACTTGACAATCAAGAGGACATTCTGAGAAAAGGCATGCCTACCCAGCAGGCTAGGAACTGGTTGTCTATATCAGTTTCCTGGGGCTCACCTGCCCTGGCACAGGGGCATGAAAATTTGGGGGTGTGGGCCAGCACTGAGCATCCCTGTGCTCTCTGTTGCTCAAAAATAGTTCTTCAATTTGATCTTTTTAAATATATATATATATATATATATATATATATATATATATATATATGTTTTTGTTGATTTTCAAAAGAGATGAAGAGAGAGAGGGAGGGAGAGAGGGATAGAAATACTAATGAGAGAAAAACTCCCACAGTTGGCTGCCTCTTGCACACAACCCACCTGGTATTGGGCCTACAACCCAGGCATGAGCCTTTATCAGGTATCAAACTGGTGCCCTCTTGGTACATGGGTCAACACTCAACCACTGAGCCACACCAGCCGGGCTCTTGGATTTCACCTGTTCATTTATGTTTCTATGTAAGTCTTCATGTGAATCAGAATCCCACCTCGGTTCTCTTCCACACCAAACACCTCCCAGTGGAATGTTCTATGTTTGGGGAAATTCAATGATGAGTTTCAGATTCAGTGTTCTCCATAACAGTATCAAAGACTCAGTATTGCCATGTCATATCCTCAAGGAGCAGCCACTCCCAGGAGCCAGGGTCAGTGTGGAATACGTGGGCTGCAAATTAGAGGTTGGAAATTAGATCAGCCAAGATTACTGGGTGACATTATAGCTGTTCCAATAGGCCTCTGAATGTCTCGAGTCATTTTCCTTTTGCATCCTGAAATTATATGACTCCTGTCCACAGCTCCTCATCCCCCGACGAAGCCGGAATCCTCTCACGGGACCCAAAACCAAAGTGCTCCAGAAGTCCCTCTTGCTGTCGCCAGGTAAGAAGCCGGGCATGCCGGGTTGGGTTCCGGCGTGGGGGTCAGGCCATGTGTTGCGTAGGATAATGACCCTCCAAGGCTTCCTGAGAAACGGGAAGGCCTGGGCCTTTGATAAGGAAGCCCGGAGCCACAGCTGTTATTGAAGCTAACAGCAACATCCTTCCTGTGCTTTGTACTTCTCCGGGTTAGGCTAGAGGCTCAGGGATCTGAGTATTGACTAGATCAGATCAACTAGGACTGATGCTAACTCCTCCGGGGAGAAAAGTGGGCTTTTCTAACTAGACTCAGTAACTTTTGAATTTCACTTTACAGATGTCCAAGACTTAAAAAATGCCATTTTCTGATTAAATACTTTCCTGATCAGGTTATTATAACAATTGTCATCCCAACTAAACAGTCGAGGAAGCAAGGGCTCAGGCTGGAAGACACTGTAAATTGGTGGTGGCTTCCTTAAAACAAATCCCAGGCCTCCAAAATTAGTGCCAGAAAGCCCTGCCACCCTGGTCTGACCAGTGCCTTCAGCCTCTGTTCATGCCCCTCCCCCACTTCCCCACTCTCCACAGTCACCTACCGCAGAACATCAGCACACACTGTTTCTCTGCCTGTACCTCTTCCCTCCATAGCACCCCCCCCCCCCCCACTCTCTCCAGACTTGGAAAACTTCTCTCTACTCATCAGGCCCCAGCTTAAAGCCACTGAATCCAGGTGACCGTTCTGCCCATTTCCCAGAGGGAATAAATGAGGCCCACAGGAGCCTAGGCCCTTTCCCATTGAAGTCAAGTACAGCTTCACGTTCAGCAGCCCATGATATCTATACTGACCATCCTAAAACTGCAGTCCCTGCATCCTGACTTCCCTGGGGGCCTGTCCAGGGGGAAGATGCTGTCATTGTAACTAGTAGATATTTACAGGGAGTCCCCCTGTTTGTGGTGGGGTAGAGCAGTGGTTCAGAGGAGGAATCCACTAGGATTGGCCTAGCTCCACCACCAGCAAACCACATGATTCTGGGCAACATCATTCCCCTGGCAGGAGAAGCTGAGGGCAGAGCCAGGCCTGTTGCAAGTGCCTGGTAGGTGTGCCCTCTCATTGCCATGGCCAGGCCCTGTCCATCAGGGTGACCGCCACCCCCAAACCCTCCTCTCCCTCACTTTCCTGCCTTGTCCTATCTCACACATGCAGTAGCTTTGTTCCCAGTCTCTGACCTGTGGGTGTTAGAACTCTGGCTCAATAATTCTTGTCAGGCTGCTTTCTGTTCAAGGCCCAACCTGGCACAAAAGTCTGCCCAGAGCTCAGTAGAAATGCCCTCTCTTAATGCCATTTTCTAAAAGGAAAATAAAACCCTCATATTGTCATAAAAAGACCATGAGCTCTCATTGGACCCCGAATCTATAGCAGCTGGGTAGTGTGGCTTGGCTTCTTTTGTTTCTTTGTTCAATTAGTTGCACAAAGTCTCCTGATTTTTCTTCCTCTGTTAAATGGCTTCTTCTGAGCCCCCTTCTCAGATGTTTCCCAAGCTGACCTCCAAGTGCCAGGACTCTCAGGGTCCATCTGAGGGCCTGGCTTTTCTCACAAAGAGCCTAAGCAGTGTCAGCCACCCATGTTGCTGTCAATCCTATGCTGGTAATTCCTAAATCTCAATCTTCAGTCACAATCCCCCTTCTTAGTTCCAGACCCAACAGGCAGTTTTCCTTAAAAAGTGACAGGCATCTCAAACTCATAATGCTGAAATGATCTCTTTGTTTCTACTTTTATTCCCAAACCAACTATCTCCCCACAAACGTTCTCTCCCCAGCCAATGATGCATCCTCTTCCCCATCTTCATTCTCCCATTTCCACCTCCCCAATTTCTATCTCCAAAGCATGTCTGAAATCTATCCATGTCTCCTCATTTCCCCAGCTCCCAACATGGGCCAGCCACCCTCGATCTCACCTGAACTCATAAAGTAGCCACTTACTGATATTTACACCCCCATGCCTCACCTTCTGTCTAGAAGGAGCTGCTTTCTGGTCCGTTGCAGAATAAGCCATGCTTCCTTGCCTCTGAGCCTTCGCACCTGCTGTTCCCTCTGCCTGGAACAACACCCTCCCTCGTCACCATTTTCTATTCATCTTTCAGAAGTCAGCTTGGTTAGCACGTCTCCCAGGAAGGCTTTCCCAAGACCCAAAGTGACTTTGTCTGGGTTAAAGCTACCTCAGGGACTCCTGCTGTGCACACACCTGTCCCAGCACTTAGCTCACTTGTGACTGTGATACAGTGTCTTCCCTGCACAAATGGAGCAGCATTAGGGGCTTTAGGGCAAAGGCCATGTCCTACTCATGTTACATTCCTCAAAATATGCCATGTGCCCAGTAGGTACTCAATACATCTTTTTTTTTTTTTTCTTTCTCTTTTTTAATTTTTTTTTTTTTTAATCCTCACCAGAGGATGTTTTTCCATTGATTGTTAGAGAGAGTGGAAGAGAGTGGGAAAGACAGAAACATCAATGTGAGACCAATACATCAATTGGTTGCCTCGTGCACAAGCCCTGACCAGGGCCCAGGCCAAGAATAGCCTGCAACTGAGATACCTGCCCTTGACCAGAATCGAACCCAGAACCCTTCAGTCCACAGGCTGATGCTCAATTCGCTGAGCCAAACCGGCTAGGGCTCAACACACCTTTTAAAATTAAAGAATCATTCCTTTTATTTTATTTTTGTTTGCTTGTTTTGGTATGTTTGTTTGTTTTTGCTTCATTCCTTACAAACTCAGTACTTGAGACCTAAAATATCCTCAGAGGATGTCCCTAGTCCTTCAATATTTTCTTTTTAAAAGTCTTATGCAGTTCGGGCAGACATTTTGCTACAGATGACTTTCCCCAGACATTTATTGAGGTCGTACACTGGCTCCTGATAAAGGAATCTGGTGTTAACAGAGTCCAAGTCTTGGATGTCAGCAGAAGTCTGGCTGGGACTGCAACACAGCGTGGTGGTTAAATAACCTGCGAGCATTTTTACCCACAAAGCAAGGCTCCCCTAAGATAGCAAAAACCAGGTGTGCCCTCGTTGATTTCAGGGTGCTAGGAAAGGGCTAGATTTCATTTAATTGGCCTGGAGGCTTTATAAATAGCGCTCTTTTGGAATGGAGCATGCCCCATGTAATTAGATGTAACTGTGGTAGCACCTCGCGCTTATAATGATGGCGCTGGCCACAATACAAAGTGAACCAGAAAATTAAGCTAAGTGTTAAGGAAAGCTAAACATTAAGTAAAGTGCTAACGAGAGCCATTGGTAAACAGTCTTGGTAACATCATTATTATTGTGTTTATTGGTTTCTCCATTGGTTTCTCCATTGTCTTTTATTAGGTATTTTTAAAACCCCTTTTTCTTTATGGACTTACAATAATCCACACAGTTTTCTCAGCTAGCTCACATTTCAAGGAAGACTCAATTGCTTTCTGTGCTCTCCCTCCGTTGGGATATAATTACTGTGGAATAGGAGCCCGGCCAGCCACATACCATTCTCTACAGTGGCTGTGGTCAGAAGGCAAGTCTAAGTTCATGTCTTCACAAAGAATCATAATTGTGCTCATTGAAATGACATGAATAGAACTCCTATGAGTCTATTTGTTCCATATCTAATGTTTCTAACATTTTCTTCAGCTCTTCGTTCATGATGAGCAACCACAGTATGCAAAGCAGAGGTAAGAGCACTTGACCTAGGAATCATAAACAGCCGGGTAAGTCCTCTCACGACAGTATTCCTGCTCCGTGACTTGGCTCTGTGACCCTCAGACTTGCTGAGTGGATGTAGATAAAGGGCATTAGGTTGTTTTCATTGACATCTCATTGAGTGAATATAACAATTTTCCTCTGTAATTAAATAAGATCACTTAAGTGGTTTCCATTTTCCTCTCTTATGAGCATTATGATGTTTTAAATAAAAGCATGACTGGATTTTAAAACTCTAAAGTTTACATCCTCTTCCCAAATAATACAGAAAACTTTTTAAATAAAATGTTAAAAGGGGAACTATCTTCAGCATTATTCCTATTTTCAAGGCTTTAAAGTGTGGGTAAAATTAACGTACTGTGATAAATATAATTTAACTTTAAGTGGTCAAACAGTCCCTTACAACAAACAGTTTAATGCACATAATTCCCCATAACAAACATTCTTAGGTCAATGTAAAAAGCCACAATCCTTGCAACCATAAAATAGAACACCTATTGTTTCAGGCATACTCTTGGTTCTTAATAATCCCAGAGAGAATTCAGTTCTTTGATGAGCAGAAGCAGACTAAATGCACATGAAACCTAACTTTTGGTATCTGGCATATAAATATTCCCTAATGTTTAATATTTTACCTCAAAATTTGCTATGTCAAAAGTATCCTATTCTTAAATGGTGATGGAAGACTTAACTTGGGTTGGTGAACACACAATTCAATATACAGATGATGTATTATGAACTGTACACCTGAAACCTATATAATTTTATTAGCCAGTCATCCCAATAAATGCAATTAAAATTTTAATTTAAAAAAAGTCTTCTATTCTTTCAAAGTTCTTGTCAAGCTACTAACCAAGACTATTACTTTGGTAATATTTTCTAGACTAGATTAAGACTATATTAGCTTATAACTCTGCCATTGCACTAATTACTGCTCTTCCATTTTATTTGCTACTAGAGGCCCAGTGAACAGATTCATGCACTGGTGGGGTCCCTTGGCCTGGCCTGCCCCTTCTCACAATCCAGGACCCCTCCAGGAATCTTGGATAGCCAGTTTTGGCCTTATCCCCACAGACCCAAGACCCAATTCAGACAGGAGGGAGCTTGATCCTGTGGGTTAAGCATCTGTCCCCTGGTGGTCAGAGCACGCCATAGTGACAAGTTGACCAGTGGTTCAGTTGCTTAGGCTTTTATATATAGAGAGAGAGATTTTTGTCCAGTATTTTATTTCCATATTATTTTTCTGCTCTCAAGGCTTTGTGAATTATTTGCAGTTCTTTCTTGCTTGAAATTACTAAATTATTTACAAATCTTGTATTTACTATTCCTCATAACACCTCACTCCTTCCTTTTAGCCTTAATTTCCTCAAATTCATATTTTTATTATTATTTACTGAAATGAAATGATAAGCTGTGAAAATATGAAACCTCAGCTGTTTCATCCAAGAATATAGAGAAGATATCACATCAAAACTTAACAAGTGCCCTGGCTGGGTGGCTCAGTTGGTTGGAGCATTGTCCCACACACTAAAAGGTGGTGGATTCAACTCTCAATCAGGGCACATACTCAGGTTGTGGGTTCAATCCCCTGGTCAGGGTGAGTATGGGTAGCAACCAATTGATGTTTCTCTCTTCCTCTAAAAAGCAATCAAATTAAAAATAAAACTTGAAAAGTGGTATTATCTTAAAGCTAAGGTACCAGTTGAAAGCAAAACCCTTTCAAGGAATTTTTTAAATACTTTAAAATTGATTGTTCTGCCTTCTTTAAAAAAAAAAAAAAAAATACCCTGACATGATTTTATAGCTTTATACATTAGTCACTTAGAAAATAATGATTCATAGACCTAAGCATATCTTTTCAATGTTAACATACTTCATTATGAAATAGTTTAAAATCACTACCTACTACCACCAATCTCAAGAGAAAAGTTTTTTCAAATGCTGTTATGTCAAGATAGCAGCTGCAAGTTTTTCCAAATTCCAATCTGCATTTCAAAACTCTAAATTTATAGTTAGCAGCAAATACTGCCATTGTTTTCCATGAAATATCTGGCTCACCTTGTTCATGTCTAATAAAATATCTGCCAAATGCCCAAGTCTGAATAACCACAGTTTGTCATTTTTTCTTTCAGGTTAAAAAACTAACTAAAAATAAGATTCCATTAAGACAAAATGTCATTCTTCACATTAAAAAAAAAAATAGTGTTGCCTGAGTTGAGAATAAGCTTGGCTTGTTTAAGAAATTGACCAAAGTTCATTATGGCCAGAAAAGATCAGATGATGGGGGATGAGTGGGTGGGTGGATGGATGGACGGATGCAACAATAGATGGGGAAATGGATGGATGGATGGATGGATGGATGGATGGTGTATACTGGTGGATGGAAGGAAGGAAGGAACAATGTATAGGGAGATGGAGGAAGGGATGGGGGATGGAGAAATCAGAAGAAAAAGATTATTGAGTGTCTCACTGACAGGTGTCAAACATTTGGGTGTTCTTCCATGTATAATGGAAACCATGAAAGGATTTTTACCAGGGGGAGTAGCAAAGTCATAATCACATTTTTTAAATATTACTCTGACTGCCTTAGAGAAGAAGGGGCAAAAGCTGAAGCCAAAGAATCCAGGGAAGAGTCCCATCTAGAGTGAGGCCATGGTGGTGTAGACTAAGACCACCCCAGAGTGAGATGATGGTGGTATAGGCCAAGATTGCCCCAGAGTGAAATGTTGGTGGTGTAGACCAAGGTTGCCCAAGACATAGGGAGGACTGGCAGCTCCATCCAGCTCCTTGTTGGAGGGAAGCAATATGACATCAACAAAATCGCACTTAAATGTACATTTACTTTTCCCAGATCGTAAAGAAAGCACGCATTCCCATCCTCCTCAGAGATGTCAGTCTCCAGTCATCTGTGGCCCTCGGGAATATGCTCTTCATTATAAAAACATCTGCTGGAGGAAGCCTTTCTCCACAAGGTCTGATGAAGAGGTAGACACCTCACTGCATTGTCTTTCTAGATAAACTCGATGTCTGAATAGAGCTCTACTGAACGTTGCCTCAGAGGGATATCCCGGTGGACTTTAACTTTTTTCCAATATTATTGGGTTCTAACATTTTAAAGAGTTTTGCTGTATAACATTTTATATTGCTCTTCCACCAGATTCTTTCATTTCTATACAGTCGTGCTCTCTGTTCCCAGGGGATGGGTTTCAAGCCCCCTGGTGGATGCCTGAAACCACAGACAGTACTGAACCCTGTACTTACTGTGTTGTTTCCCACACATACATATGGACATACTTATGGTGAAGCTTCACTATTAGTTAGGTAGTCAAGGATTAACAACAACTAACAGTAAAATAGAACAATTATAACAATATACTGAAATAAAAAGCAAAGGACTTTATTCCAAAGGACACTTGCAATAAGAGATGAGTTTGATGGAAGAGAATGACAGACCAAGTAGGAGGAGAGGTGAGAAGTAGGAGGGATACCAGGCAGGAGGACCAACTCATGCCAAGTCCTGAAGCCATGTGTCCACAGAATGGCAAGCACATCCACCTGGCCAAACCCCTGTGCCAGGCCTGGGATGGCAGGAAGCAAGGACATGGAGTTAGGTGGGGGAGCTGGCTCACACACATGCTCATCATTGGGAAGATCCATCTGTGGGAGGACCAGCGACTCAGTCTCAGACTGAGCGACGAAGTACTTGCCAACCAGCTGACAGGCATTGACTTCCTGAGCCCCTTCCTCGCCTGGCATGCCCACCTGTCAGGGTTGCTGCAGGGATGGATTGGGATAATGGATGAGGAGGGGTCTTCGATGTGATGGATTCACATAGGGACTTGTTTAATATTAGATCCTTGAGAACTGTAGGTCCGTGGAGCATCTCTCTGACTGCCCTGTCTTCTCTCTGTCATGATGGATTTTATAATCCAAAGAAATCAGTTCGTATAAATAAGGGAACATGGCATGGGGTAAAAGCAGGAAGAATAAGGTTCAAATTGAGATCTAATGCAATGGAATATAGACAAGTGGCCTAAAGATGCTCCCTTCTACACCTATCCTGCCCTCCCCTCCCATGATTAGGGCAGCTTAGACTCCACACACATTAACCATCCCATCTCAGTAAGCTCCAGCAGGTAGAGAGCATGAGGGTTTAGTACCCATTCTGAGCCTGGTGCACAGGGCCTTTTATGTAGATGGAGTGGAATTTCAGGTCACTCCGTCACGCCAATTTTACAATTCCTAAGCTGCAGTTACTGCTTCTGCATCCAGACTCGGGGACAGAACTTTTGTGCCACATCTCTACTGTCAATCAAACTGTGATTTGGCACTAGGGGAACAAAAGAACATTTTCATTAATTAACTATTAGGGCTTCCCCTTGACCCTGAGATAGTCATCATGTCACCTGTCCTGCAGGAGGACCAGCCCAGTGAATGGTACGTCGGAGAGTACAGTCGCCAGGAGGTGGAAGAGGCCTTGATGAAGGAGAACAAGGTAAGGCCTCGATGGGCCCATCAGCTTAGGGTTTCCCGCCCACAGGTCAGGGGGCATAGCAGGCAGTGCACTGCGACGGACTGGTTATTGCCTCACCTTGCATTTCTCAGTGCTGGCAGTTACCACAAACTCAGTAAACTAAGACAAATGGATTCTCTCACAGTTTTGGAGGTCAAATTCCTACATGGGTCTACCTGGACTAAAATTAAGGTGTAGGGCTGTGTTCCCTCTGGAGGTTCCTTCTGGAGTCCATTTCCTTGCCATTTCCAGATTTCAGGGGCTGCCAGCCAGCCTTGACTTGTGCCCTCCACCCCATGTCTGACTCTTACATCCCTGCCTCCCTCCTACAAGGATTCTCCCAATTACATTGAACCCTTCCCCCACCCCCCAGATAATCGAGGATAATTTCCCATCTCAAGACACTTAATCACATCTGTAAATCCCTTTTTCCATGTAAAGGTGACATATTCACAGGTCCTGGAAGTTAGGACATGGACATCTTGTGTGTAGGGGCATTATTCTGTTTTCCATAGCAACTTAATGTAAGTTTATCTTATTTAATTTTATAATATCAATACCGAGAGAGCTAGGTTTTGTTAAAATTCATTGGGGTCCTGTCACTAATGAACTCACCCGCTAATGAACACATTCATTTTTTTAATATTATTGATTGATTGATTGATTGATTGGAGAGAGAGAGAGAAGGAGGATTCATTGTGATAAACTCATTGTACAGTTTAAGATAATAAACCCAGAAATTGGTCACACATCTTGGCCCCCTCTTCCTGACTGATCTTTGGCCATGTTCTGTGCTTGAGTCTTAAGGCTGCAATTACAGCCAAATGTTTTAGGCAAAAGAAGTTCCAGAAAATGTCTCAATGCCACTCGATGTTCTCGGAGGCTGGAATATTTAAAGAGCAAGTTTCCCATTGATGAGTTATGATGATTTGGGAGGTTCACTTAAGCTACTGGATCCTAATTTCCTCACCTGCAAAATGGGGATAAAACACCTCCTCAAATTTTAAGTAAAGATCATATAAAATAATGTATGTAGAGTGCTTGATATCTTGAGAGAAATTCCAAATAAACCTCAGCTGTCAGCATCATTAGAATGTCACCATAGTTTTATTTATAAAATTTAACATTTTTAAGTATCATTCTAGAGCAACAATTTTTTTTTTTTTAAAATATATTTTATTGATTTTGTATAGAGAGGAAGGGAGAGAGACAGAGAGCTAGAAACATCGATGAGAGAGAGTCATCGATCAGCTGCCTCTTGCACACCCCCCACTGGAGATGTGCCCGCAACCAAGGTACATGCCCTTGACCGGAATCGAACCCGGGTCCCTTCAGTCCCCAAGCCGACGCTCTATCCATTGAGCCAAACCGGTCTCGGCTAGAGCAACAATTTTTAACCAGTATGCCACAAATATTTTTAAAACATGCAATACCTGACTATTTAGTCAGGGGCCCTGACCTCTTGTCCCTTAAACAAATTTAAACAATGACAACAGTCAGCAGAACAACAGCTGTCTGGTGTGAATGAATACCTTGTCAGATCAGCCTAAAATATATATTCTTTGGTGTGCCTCAGAATTGTAGCAATTAGTTTATGTGTGCTATGAGATGAAAATCACTGTCATGTCATAAGTATTATACAATATAAATCTATATATTATAAATATTAATTACATGTAACATGCTATAATCACATGAGTATACAGATATTACTCATGAGAGAGATAAATACATATAACAACTATTATAAATTATACATAAAACCTCATTGTATAGATCATTTGTAATAACCTATGGAATTACAGTCAGATTTCTTATCAGGTAAGTGACGTCCCGTGACCACAGGACTGAGCTGCGTAGGCAGGTGTGGTCACCTCCAGAGGCCCGCACCATTCCTTAGCCTTTCCCCGGCCCTTCCGCCTGAGTCTTTCCCCAGGGAGAGCCTGACGATTGCTGGCCCACGTCAGTGCCCTTTTCAGCCCTCAGACCACCCCACACCGCGGCCCTCGCTGTCTACAGCCCTGGCTTCTGCAGCAAGCTTCCGAGCTTCCTTCCCCTCTGGGTCATTGTCAGAGCCCTTTCCTGCCCCCTCCTGCCTGCCCTGCTCTTGCCTTCCCCTCAGGCCAGGCTATGTTTTCTCCCCCCACCTACAGCCTCTACACTCACTCTGACCTCAGTGACCTTGAAGCTCCACATCACTTTTGGGGACCCTAGCCCTCCATTGACATCTCCCAGAGGCAGGTGGGGCCTTTGGGAGCTGGTGGCTTCCTGGAGCCTGGAGGTGTGGGTGCTGGAAGATCTGGAAGAAGGGGTGTCATCTGTCTGGTTGACTTCTCAAAAAATAACAAGAATCCTAATACATACTATCATCCCATAATACATACTGTCACCCCATAATACATACTGTCACCCCATAACCACCGAGTCCAACTGAGTCAAGAGCTAGTTCACCCAAAACTAAAGCCATCGGGAACCGGGAGCCCGGGCATCGCCGTTTGCACGTGGCGAGGGTGGGACGCGGGCAGCCTGAGGGGTAATCACGCCTCCTCTCCTTCAGGACGGCACGTTCCTGGTCCGAGACAGCTCGGCCAAGTCCCACACAGAGCCCTACGTGCTGGTGGTGTTTCACAGGAACAGAGTCTACAACGTGAAAATCCGCTTCCTGGAGAGGACTCGGCAGTTTGCCCTGGGGACGGGACTCCGAGGAGACGAAGTAGGTATACTTAACGGCTCCCCTTTTCTGCGCTAAAGAAAAATGAGGGGAGAACAGGGTGCAGGGTGCTGGCCAAGGCCCCGCCATGTCCCCTGCCTGCAGGATGGGAGGAAAGAGCGCCACCCTGGAGGTGGAGAGTGTAATTAACCCTCCCAGCCCCTCAGGCCAGCATCCTTGCACATGGCTCACACTCCCCCTCCACCCTGCTTTGCCCACTAAAGGAAACTCATTCTGCCAGGCCTCTCCATTCTGCCGCCCAGAGCCCTCCCCTGAGGCTGTTAATGCCCCCTCCATGCCAGAGGCCTTCCTGCCCCGGCACTGAGCTCCCGCTGCTGGCGTTTCAGACAAGGTCTGCTGGCAAGAGGAATTGGGAGGTTTGGTCCCCAGACTGAAGGTGGGCTTCCTCACAGCGCCCAGTGCCCGGAGTCAGGCTAGAGGGGCTGGCAGGTGGCCGGGTGAAGGATGAATCGGTGACAGCACCCATGCCTAACTGTGTCCATGAACCACAGGGAAGGGGGAAAGGAGATGGATTGTCACTGCATATGGTCACGGAATTGGTCTGTCTACATGATCTCATTTTAGTTTTCAAAAACTCTGTCACAGCTAGTCACGGCAAAGCTGGAATTCAAATGCCGGCTTCCTCACGCCGTCTCAGACCACATCATGGCAAGCCACACAAACCCCAGCACTGGGAGACAGCCAGAACACAGGTGGGAGAACAAAGCACAGGGATGTAAAGGTGCCACCGTGCTGGTGAGAAAGTATCTCCCAGGTGCCCCTTCCTGCCTCTCCTGTGAGCCAGGCCCGGGGCTACAAGCCAGACAGGCCCAGCTTGCACCTGTCACCTGTCACCTGTCACAGTGGGGGCCCTTCCCTGGCTGAGGAAGAATCGCCCATTTTTTAAAATATATTTTTACTGATGTCAGAGAGGAGGGAAGAGGGAGAGATAGTAACATCGATGAGAGAATCATTGATTGGCTGCCTCCTGCACGCCCCACACTGGGGATCGAGCCTTGACCGGGACTCAAACCGTGACCTCCTGGTTCATAGGTTGATGCTCAACCACTAAGCCAGGCCAGCCGGGTGAATCACCCATTCCTAAAAAGAGATTAAAGAATCTGATGGATCAGGGGATGGCTCTGCTGAATAGGAGCCAGCTCAGTGAAGAGACAGCATCTTCATCTGATGGCAGTCAGTTGGAAACTGGAGTGAGACCGGGTTTCAGAGACCGCTCTGATTTTGTGTGGCTTTGTGGCTGTCTTGCGCACTGCAGATGTCACCACACACACAGGGCAGCAGCACCTGTCTCCAGCGGTGGCTGTGAGTGAAAGATGAGATGATGTAATAGAGTGCTGGTCACACAGAGGCAGGTGCAGAAGGGGTATCAGATTCCATCGTACCTGTGCCCTGGGGGCCCTTTCGTTAGACCAGTGCACTAGGCACAGGCGAGGATCTCCAGATTCAGGGAGCATCGGTGCCTTCCTTCCTGCGGCTGCTCCGACAAAGGACCACAAACTCTGTCGCTTAAAACAACAGGCGCGTGTTCTCACAGTCCTGGAGGTCCCTGTGTGGGCAGGGCCTGACCCTCTGGAGGCTCAGGAGGATCCCCCTGCCTCCTCTGGCTGCCAGCGTCCCTGAGCTGCGGCCCCTCACTCTAACCCCCGCCTTGTGGTCACACTGCCTCCTCCTCCTTGGAAGGCTCTCCCTCCCTTCTGTGATTATTTTTAGGGGGACCTAGGAGAGATACGCTCTTTTCCCCGAGATCCTCAACGTGATCCTGACTTTTGCCATGTGAAGAGACAGTCCCTCTTTGATACATAAGATTTGAGGGGTTAGGACATGGCACATTTGGGGACCACCAGTCAGTCCACTATATCCATTTGCTAGTTACTGAGCCAGTCCAGTCCTCAGGCCTTACCTTGTCCTGCAAAGATGTATGAGCCATGGCTGAACATTATGATTGATGTTCACTCGATAAATTCAACATTGAAGACTAGAAAACCACCCATGAGTTTATTTCTTACTTCCCCTGTCTGCTTCTCGCCTTTCTCCCTCCCTCTCTCTCTCCCTCTCTCTATTCCTCTCTCTCCTTCTCTCTCTCCTTCCCTCTCTTTTCCTGCTTTCACTCCCATGTGTGTGCCCAAACAGACCAGCATACCCTCCAGCAGTGAAATGTAGCCTACAGTGAACACACAGGGCAAACACAAAAGGCCTAAACCAACGTTAAGATCCAATATTAGGATGGCTTCTGGTGTCCTAAAAAAAAAAAACAAAAAAAAAACATATTTTCATATCTAAACAAGAGCTTAATTATAATTTTTAAAAGTCTCTTCAGGGCACTATATCAGTTGCAGGCTTATCACTAGATGTCAATAAGGAGAATTGACAGTCTGATTTATGGCCCCTGCCTTGCCCGCTTCCTACTACGTGGTTCATATAAAATGTCACCCGAGAGGATTATTAAAACAACTAATGTGGAATCCATTATTCCGGGACCGTCCTAAGCAAGCAGGAATGAGAATATGAAGCAAGCGCCTTCCCTCTGAAGATGCCCACCAGGAAAGAGCATTTCCGTCACGCCGTGTGCATGAACCAGTGTTATGCAAGAGTTCTATGTGGAACGTTGTTCTCATGAATCACTTTTTGTTTTGTCAAGCATGATGAGAGAGAGAGGAAACTGGAAATGAAACAGGAAAACTTCTGTTCTTCCTTAAGGCTCACAGGGACAGTCTGCACGTCTTGGGGGATTTCATTGCTCCTTCCTCGTGTTCTTCACAACCGTGGAGGCAGGAGCTCACAGCGATGGCTGATGTGTGTTGAGCCTTCATTGTACCCCGAGGTCTCTTCTAGAGGCTGTACAGTCAGCTAATCCTCACCACGGCCCTCACAGGCAGGTCCTAACATCACCATCGCTGTGCACAGAGAAACTGAGGCAGAGCCTGTAAGGAACTGGCCCAGGGACACACAGCTGGTGGGTGGGAGAGACCTGCGTGGAACGCAGGCATCCGGGCACCACTGGCCCTTCGCTTAGGACAGCTTTTGCAGACTGAGTATTACCCCATTGGACAGCCAGGGAGCTGCCTTACCTTGGCCCCGGGCAGGAACTAAGTAGTATTTATCCAGTACCTGCCTATGATAGACAGCTTATCTCATTGAAAACTCTGCTAACAGACCCAGTGACAGGCCCAGACATGCAAGTCGTGTATAATTTTAATCAGAACTCTAGAAAGACAGAACCTACTTAGAGGAGCTTGGGGGCAAGGGAGTAGGTATGTGGACTCAGTCGCCAGGAAGAACCAGAATGGCATGGCTCTGGGAACTGGCCACTGTCAGGAGACTCATCACACATATCTTTCCTACCCACACCGCTCTCCCATGCCTTGGCAAGGGGAAGGAAGAGGGGACAGCCATGGCAGTTATGGGTACCTTGCATTCCAACCTGGTACCCCCCCTCCCCAATCTCCCCACAGACAAATGCATCCCCCAAGGGAAGGCCCCTGGGTGGCCTGGTGAGATTCCAGCCCAAAGTTGATGGTTCCCACGGCACATTACCTGAAATGATCTATGTGTGTGGGGGAATTTATTTTGCCCCCGTCAGGATGTCACCTCTGTGAAGACAGGGACCTTGACCATCTCACTTCCTGCTGGCTACCCCTAAGGCCTGCGGACATTTCTGTGCCAGGATGGGGGCGCAGACGGAGGAGTAGACAGAACCGAAGCAGAATCAGGTCGTCCCCTCCATGACACCCTTCCTTGGGGCTGTGTCATCTCTGCCCTGGTCTGTTGGGACATCAGGGTGACAGCCACAGGCAACATTGCATCAAGAAAGCACCGACAGGTGTCCAGCAAAACCAGATTCCATTCCTGGTCCTGGCCTTGCAGCTATGTGACCTCTGAGCTGGAGTGTCTTTAGCTCTTCAAGGACATTGCTCAACCTCACAAAATAGCCCAGGAGGCTCAATGTTGTGGTCAGAAGTTTAGAAGGCAGGTGGTGTGAGTTATTCCTCATTCTCTCCCAGCATTCCCTTCCAAGGACTCCTCCAAACTCAGCCAATCAGACCTGATGCCCACATTCTCTCAACCCCCCGTCTTGCTTCTTCCTCTGCTTTTACTATCTTTAACCCGCCCTGTTGGTGTATCTGGAATCACTCACAATGAATAACCCACTTCAGGTTGGTATCTTCGACAAAGCACTTTCTGATGCCCCTAAACTTGACATAATCTTACTTTCTCTCAAACCTGCTCAGGACTTTATCTGCACACCTCTAGAAACACAGAAGTGAAATGATCTGTTTATGTCACAAGAAGCCCAGGGAAGGAAGCTAAATTGATGAAGAACCAACAGCAGCCCATGGTCATCACAGACATTCTGATCACACTAACTTAGAACAGGAGGGGTTACAGGAGAGAGAGTTCTCTACAGTCCTTTCCCACCAATTTACTAAGCAAAAGCCAAGTCTTGATTGTCTGCATTTGGGTTTGTCTCGGGTAGGGGGACGGTAAGGGAGACACCAGGCCTTCCCCTGGGCTGACTGCTGTGAAACTCACTCATCTAACTTATCTTACCTGCTCACAATAGGGACCTGTGATAAAGATGAAGCTTGGCCCAGTGATCTGACTACTGGATGTGGGAAGCTCAGCTGCCTTAGCTCATCTTTGGTCTCCCCAAGTGCCTTTTCTCCCTTATTATCTTACTAGTGGCCCAGTGCATGAAATTCATGCACATTAAAAGGGAGTTAATTAGAGGAAATATTTTAATATTGCTATTTTCCCTTTATAATAAAAGTGTCATAGATTAAAGAAAATTAGTAAAATGTGTATGAAAATCTCCCTCCTGTCAGACACTGGGGCCTGCCGAGGACCCAGAGTCAAATCCTCACCCACCCGCATGCACCTCAAAATCGCTCCCGGTCCCACCCCTATTGGGGGAGACCCAGACCCAGCTGGCCCCACCCCCAGTAGCCCCACCAGGAGGGGGACACAGCCTCATGTCCCCCACCCCAGCCTGGCACCACACAGCCTCAGGTCGCTGCTGATGGGTCGTTATGGCATCACTGCATTACAGCGTCATGGCATGGTGACCATCTGAGTATTAGCCTTTTATTATGATTCTTGTCACTCATCCTTTAAGAGATTGCCACACCCCTTTTTAAAATGGCTTTCTGACACACCTTTACAAACTTCCCTCCCCAAATGTTAATGAATTCCCTTTTCCAAGTAAAACTGAACATCTGTACTTTAACCTACAAGCTCCAAAAGGATGTGAATTTCATTAACTTTCTTGTCTGTGTTTCAGAAGTTTGACTCGGTGGAAGACATCATTGAACACTTCAAGTATTTTCCTATTGTGCTGATCGACGGAAAAGATAAGACCCGGGCCCACAAGGAGCAGTGCTACCTGACGCTGCCCCTCCCTCTCAGCAGACTCTCCTCGCCTCCATAGCCTGATCTGCTTATCTTCAGTCCACTGGATCCCGGGCCTCTATCACTTTTCACCTATTTCCAAAGACTCTTCATCTGGGGTTTTAAGGGATCACATCTTAGATTTCGTAGAAAAGAAAATCGTTCTATTATATGATGGGAATTGGAAACTCAACCATGGTTTTTGAAATCTCAAACCACAGAACAAATATGTATAAGCTGCCTAAATCAAACTTAGCTTTTTAAAAATATCTTTTAGAAATATCTTTTAAAAATATCTCACGTTACAGATAAGCAACAGAGGTTACAAGAAACTATCGCTGGGATGTTTGCAGCTGGCACATGGCGAGTCTGGGGGAGACCCCCAAGTCTATGCTCTTCCCAGGACCTCGTACGACCTTGTTTATTTCAGAAATGTTTGGACTTGTGAATTTACAATGTTTAGGGGATCCCTTATGCTGAAGGTGTTAGTGAATGTCAGCTCTATTTTATTTGTCATCCTGGCAATTCAATTACAGAGGTAGGAAAACAAGAGCACTTGTGAACATCGCTTGTGAGACAGAAATCAGAAATGCGTTCCCTATGGTGTGGAATGGCCAGCTCCAGTATACTCTACTTTAGGACACAGCCTCAGGTCCCCCACCCCAGCCTTAGCTTTAGGACAAATGGAATTAGCAAATTCCTAGTAAGGGAGTAAGCTTAAGCCTGAGGGAAGTTATAGTTATTCTTAAAAGTCCAATTGTGGACTTCCATTCAAAGGAAGAGCAGGCTTCACGTTAGCGTTACATTGTGGGAACACTGCACTATGGCTGCTCAAGGCCAGGAGGATGTACTTTTATTCAACAGAGGAAGAGAACCCAGATTTTTACATATTCTTGCCTGCCTCCCTCCAAGCACATCTTCCCACGTACATTTGCTGCCCTGTGAAATTTTACAGAGAGAGAGAGAGAGAGAAATGATTTAAAAATTCAGGGTTACCTACCTCAAAATATATCACTAAATAAATTCTTGTAGTGAAGTTTAAAAAATTAAAAAAAAGAGGCCTGGTTGAAATGAATAGTACACAGTGACTTCAAATGTTGCCAAAGCTTCCATGTGAAAGTTATGTCATTGTAGCTTCCATGTAGAAGTAAAACCAAAATAGAATTCAAAGGGATACCAAGGAAAATACTACACACAATGCCCAGGATTATCTCTTGTCCAAAATAGCAGACAATGAGCACTGGGAGCATTTACCAACCAGGTGCCTGGCTCTGACCTTTCACAAAGTCAATGTGAGGTAACACCTCTAGGACAGACCAGGGGCATTTGATTCAGGAGCTCCTTGTAAAGTTAGAACTTCTTTTATATATTTTTTTTTTATTTCAGAGAGGAAGGGAGAGGGGAGAGAGATAAAAACGTCAATGATGAGAGAGCATCATTAATTGGCTGCCTCCTGCACACCCATACTAGGGATCAAGTCGGCAACCGGGGCATGTACCCTGACTGGGAATGGAACCGTAACCTCCTGGTTCATAGGTCAATGTTCAATCACTGAGCCTCACCAGTCGGGCAAGTTAGAACTCCTGATACCCACCTGACCCTGACTTAGATGTGCCTGCATAGGGTAACATGGAAACCAAGAGATAAGCGGTATACATTGGAGCCTGGCTACTAAGGAGCAGACTGGTGAGAGCTGAGGGCAGTACGGGGGCTGGTCATGCTCACCTGGGTTTCAGCAAACCCAGGCCAGTGTGTAAGTGGGCTCTGCAGAGAGTCCACAGGCTCATGTGTGGGAAGAACCCATGCCTCACTCTAAAAAGCTATTGGCAGATTTTACTGAGACCTCTGATTCACTTATCGTGAGGCCATGCCATTCTGTGCTGTGTTCTCAAGAAATGTTTCTGAATCTCCTCAAGCAATGCTCCTATTAAAATAAATGAACATCGGGTGGTGGCTAGCATGTTTATGAGGCTTATGGGTTTTTTTAATACTTTCTCACCTCTTATTCATAAATGCATGATATGTTGCTACGAGGAAAAGGCAGTAGAAATCGACCATCTTAAAATAAAATGCTCATGATACTTAACATGTGAAAAATCTCTGGGAAAAAAAAATAGAAAACTCAAAACATTGGCAGGGCTTGCTTAGATGACTGGGATCTGAGGCACGTTAGCTGGGTCTTTGTGGAACTCAGATGCCAAGGCAGGAGTTAGAAGTGCAAACATTTAGTGGAAGTAATGCTGGGGAGAAGGGACAGGAGTGGGCAGGGAGAGCCTACAGGCTGTGACTTAGGTCTGACACTTAGGGAGGAAAGAGGGGAGGGCGGAAGATGAGTAGGAAGAGCATCAGACCGAGACATAGCATTGGGAGAGCCTTGGCCAGCCCATCGGTAAGTTCCAGAGCAAAGATTGCCCACAGAGGAGAGTCCCACACTGGGCAGAAGTGGCCAGGTGTTCGTACACCACCCATGTTGACTCATTGCCCAGGGCTGTCCAGAAAAAACATGACCTTCAAATGCCATAGGACATCCTGAGGCACTGCAGCTGGAGACTGTCAGAAAACTTGGCAATCAGCAAGTTCTTCTTGCAAGGAAGAGCCAGGTGGCCCATCCCCGTGTCTGCCAAAGGGAATCTGGTTCTGAGTTGATTGTAATGACATGTTGCTTATAAGTCAATCACTACAGGATAAAGATTTATAAACTTTAACTGTATTTGATTATTACAACAGTTCTGTAAAGAGGGCAGGGCCAGGATTCTGAACCTATGTTACAACTGAGGAAGCTGTGCATTCTTGGCTGTGCATCTTATGGTGATTTTGGCCAAGTCATGGCTGGAACCAAGTTTTTCATACACAACACCCCATTCAGTGTCTAGCGTCTCATTGATCTGTAATTAAAAGCTCAATGATTTGGTGCCAAAATCGATTTGGCTCGGTGGTGGAGCGTCGGTCTGCGGACTGAAGGGTCCTGGGTTCGATTCCAGTCAAGGGCATGTACATTGGTTGTGGGCACATCCCCAGTGGGGGGTGTGCAAGAGGCAGCTGGTCAATGTTTCTCTCTCATCGACGTTTCTAGCTCTCTATCTCTCTCCCTTCTTCTCTGTAAAAAATCAATAAAATATAGAATAAAAAAAAAAGCTCAATGATTTGGGCTTGTCATGCTCAAATTCCAAAGGTATTTGATCCCTCTTCAACTATGATTTCATTTTCAGTTGAAACGTGTCACTTTATTCCTCTCCTCAGTGGGATTTTAGCTTTATCTGATTATAGCATTCATGAATATTCCTTTTTGACAAAATCATCCCCATTTGGATCCATTTATATCTTCCTCATCTTTAATAATACCTTGTTACAAGCACCAGTTTCTGTATGTATATGTTGTTAGGCAATCTTGTAAATATTGTATTACAGCAGTGAATTAAGTGGGAGAAATAGCAGCAAATAAGTATACAATAAATAAGATCAACTAAGTTGATTTCCCATGACTTTTTATTTTAACACTTTATCACCGAGTGCTTTTAGTGAGGCCAATAATAAATATTTTGCTGGAGCCATTTATGATGGCTTTAAATTGTTTTCAACCAGAAAAATGTTAAAATTTTCAAACTTAATGGAAAACTTCTGCTCTTGGGTGTACTTGTGTGGGGGGTTGGGAGAGCTATTGAGGAATCATGAGGCAAGATATTAAGATAAAGTCTAGAAAAATCTCCAAATATTTGGAAATTAAGCAACACATTTCTAAATTATTCAAGGTCAAAGAAAAAACATAAAGGTTTAAAACTATTTAAAAATGAATAATAATGAAACATAACAGCAAAATTTAAGGGATATAGCTGCCATTTAACTATGATATAATATAGACATCGATAGCTTAAAAATGCTTAACTGCTCATATTAAAGATAGTTCCATAATGAAGTGCCTACGTTTCCAGTTTAAAACATAAGGAAAACATAAATTAAACTGAAAGTAAGTAGAAAGAAGAAAATATTAAGGATAAGAGCAGAAATCAATGATACAAGCAAAAAGAAATAAAAGCCAAAAGTTGGTTCTTCGAACAATTAAAATTAATAAACAGCTCGCAATAGTAATAAAAAACATAAGCAAAAGAAAACAAATTACTAAAGAATAAAAGGGAAAACAACAGATCTTATATACATTGATAGGCTGTTAAAGACATATCATAAGCACCTTCCAGTGAGCTTGAAAAATATAATTCCATCAAGACAATACTAATACAAGAAGAAACAGGAAACTTCAGCAGCACTTTAATTTTTTTTAATATATTTTTACTTATTTCAGAGAGAGAGGGAGAGAGAGACAGAAACATCAATGAGGAGAATCACTGAGTGAACTGAATCCTGCATACCCCCTACTGGGGATTCAGCCTGCAACCCAGGATGACACTCTATCCACTGAGCCAAACCAGCTAGGGCCAGCACTCCATTTAAGAGAAATCAGCAACTTTTCCACACAAAGAAAGCTCTATATCAAGCATGTCAACCTCGCAGCCCACAGGCCACATGCTTCGTTTATTTGGCCCATGGTAGCCTTTGAGTTTAACATGCTTGCTCTACATCATGAAGGATCCTACAAAAAATGTTAAAGTTATAACACAAAATTCACAAACTATTTAAGAAGATCGAGAAAGAACATTTCTGAACACTTTATAAGGTTCACAAAAACCCAATCATAAACAAATACACAAATAAGCACATAAACCTGACACAGACAATACAAAGAAAGGAAGTTTCAGATTATGTGCCCTATGCACACAAACAAAACTCCTTTACAAAATGCAAATAACTAAATTGATGGTGGGTGGAGGAGTCAGGCTTCTCACAACTAGAATGAAAATAAGCAAAGATCAGGTCAGAATGAGCTGTAACTCTGCATGAGATTTGGAGACATCAGTATGAATTCATGTTTTGCTTAATATAGATCTACAGGAATAAATATGGAAATCATTACACATGTTAGTATACACACATCAAATTCCAAGCTCTGTGCACTTAGGGGGCTAAGCAGCAATGACACTGGTAGAAAAAAAATAGTGGGATGAAGTGAGAAGGCAGGCAAGCTTGCCCTACTAGATTTTTTTTTTCAATATAAAGCTATTCTAACTGAAACATACTGGGAATTCACAAATAGGAAAGTGAAGATGTGATAAAGGTGGGCAAAGATTGGTTTATTTAAGTAAGTTTTGCTGGAAACACAATTGTCTGTCAAATGAAGGAAAAATATATTTATAAGAAAAAATATATACCTACATAAAAAAATTTCATGGCTATTAATTATTTAACGATAAAAATATATAACAATAACTACATGCCCTTGCCATTTGTGGTCATATTGTATGTATTTGGGGTACTTTTTTTTTTTTTTTTTTTTTTTTAAGAATAGTCTATTGATCTTTAGAGAGAAAGGGAAGGAGGAGTGAGAAACATCAGTGTGAGAACACAACATCCATTGGCTGCCTCCCCACCAGGGATCAAGCCCACAACCCAGGCATGTGCCCTTGACCAGGATAAAGCCCAACCAAC